CTGTCTCAGAGGTCAGCTCAAGCTCGCTGGCACAGAGCCTAGCTTTAGCTCTGCAGACCATTTGTGGAGGCAGGGAGGAGGAAATGATTTCACTGACAAAATTAAATGTCAATGGGCGGAGCCATAAAACACCAGAGCTTTTCAGAACAAAAGCTGACTAATTACAAAATTAAAATAAAAAATAGAAATATCCAGCTTTAACTTGTCCGTCTGACTAGCATGGCTCACAGACAACTCTGTGGTTTGATACAGCTGGCCAGAAAGGACCTGTCCTCTCAAAAATGTCATTCAATTCATCCGACAACATCTGCACTGGACAATTCTGTGAAACAACATTACTTTTGACAATACTTTTTAATGTTGAAGGTTAGTGTTTTTAAAATGTTTTCCTTTTAATATTTGTAAATAAAGCTATGTTTTCATTGAGACTGGTGAAAAATTCCTAATAAACTATGGCCAAGGTTAAATGAAGCTACAGAAACATCACAGTGAACCAATTCTTTGACAGGACACCAACTCTGAGCTCCCACAGGAAAATCTGATACACCACAGGCTCATCCACCACCTTGTCCTCCACATCTTGTCTTTCCAGTTTGCCACACAAAAGAGAGATTGCTTCTTGCACTGACATTGAACACTGATGCTGGATGTGTAGTGTGAGGTGCTGAATCATCTATGTAAAATTTCAAGGGATATGGAGTTAAATAATCAACACCACCTGCCAACTAGTACACAGCTAACACCAGAGCTGTGGTATAAGCATTAGATGATGCCAATGTGCAGATGGAAATCACCGAGAGCGATGTTGACTGACACAACGTGTCACAATACAACATGCAAAGTCAAAGATCTAGTCTCAAAAGCTGCATTTTGGAGGGTGGTACAATGACTGAAGCAACATATCAGAAAAAGTAGACCAACGGCATTTCCATTCACTGTAGTTTGGAGTAAGAGCACACTGTTCTTTGGCTCTGCTCACTGATGTTGAACCCACTGAGACTGTTTCTGCTAAAACAGTATGGGTCCAGGAAATGTTTCCAGAACTAAGGTATAATTCTGAATACTGATTCCTTACAACATACTGTAACAAATGGTCATGAGTGAAATTGAACAGTGGCTGCTCTGTCTGCATGGCCTTGAGGGAACAAAGGCACACACTGAATAGTGAGCCTGCTTTTTTCTGACATGCTATTCTGGCCACTTCAACAGGGGACAGTTATAACAGTATATCTATATTTTTAAATATCTTTTAAGCAAACACAACACTGACTATTACAGTAAAAGGTGTGGTCTAAAAGAGAAGAGATGAGACAGAAGAGATAGCTGTGGCATGAAGAGCATCAAGTGCAGCTGGTTGGGTTTTCATCCACCATGTTTCACTAAATGAAGACTTTGTTCTGTAACCAAGCATAAATCACGACAACCCTAAATGTCCTGTGACCCTAATGAACCATGGTCCACCATCTGTAACAGTGGCAGATTATGCGTATTAGTCTTACCTGCAGTGACTACCCACGCAGTCAGGGCTGCCACACAGAAGACCAGAGCCATGCAGCCTTTCATGTTGCCACAGCCCTGAAGGTGACATGGATTATTACATTTTTAAAACAAAATTATTGGTAATAATACATTCTTTTCAAATGAATTTTGGATGTCATTTAACAAACAGCATATCCCTTAACTTCAGGGATGACATGTTTAGTTGTTTTATATCTGACTCAAAAAAAAAACTTTGAAGATAGTAAAATAATTATGATTCAAAACTCTCACACTGTTCTGTACAACAAGAGTTCCCTTACCTCCGTTATGTAAAATACAGTGAGGATGAAAAGCCTGGCTTGTGTATGAGGGATGACTCCAGGAAAAATGTAAGAAATTCACAACAAGTCTTGCAAGTGGCCAGTGGGAAGAGTTGTGTGCAGCAGAATGTAGTAGGGGGTTATATGGGGGACCACAGGGAGGGAGGAGATAGGGCGTCAAAGGGGGAATAAACTGGAGGTTGTTGGGCAGAATTAAGACTGAACAGAAACTACATGAAGTCACTAATCAAATCAAATCAAATCAAATTTTATTTGTATAGCGCCAAATCACAACAAAAGTAATCTCAGGACACTTTACAAAGTAAGGTCTAGACCTTACTGTTATCAATATTATTACATAGGGAAAACCCAACAAATCCCCCTTGAGCAAGCACTTGGCGACAGTGGGGAGGAAAAACTCCCTTTAACGGAAGAAACCTCCGACAGACCCCGGCTCTTGGTGGGTGGCCTTCTGCCTCGACCGGTTGGGGTGAGTGGATAGAGGAGAGACAAAAGAAGAAAAGCAACAAGACACAACAATCAAACACTGATCAGGTTGATGTGGCTGGTGACTGCTCGTCAGAGACGTAGAGCTCCAGGGCCAGGGCAACCTGCAGAAAGGTACAGGGAGAGAGAGAGGACACACTATGGGAGAGAGGAGACACACAGTTAGTAATGTGTAATGGTGGCATATAGAAGCATAGGGAGAGAGAGGAAAGGGGAGGAGAGGAGAGCAGGAGGGGAGGGGAAAGAAACTCAGAGCATCATGGGGCCCCCCAGCAGCCTAGGCCTATAGCAGCATAACTAAGGGAAGACTCAGGGTCACCTGATCCAGCCCTAACTATAAGCTTTGTCAAAAAGGAACGTCTTAAGTCTAATCTTAAAGGTAGAGAGGGTGTCCACCTCCCACTAGAGCTGGATGTGTTTAGTGCAGAATTATCCTAACGCCTCCGTGTTCATATTTGTACAAATGATGTACAGTAGATTTTGAGGCAATTCATGTTTCTGTTTGTCTCACCAAAAGATACTGAGAAATAAAAGAGACTGTATAAATTACAATATACCACAGACTTGGTTATTTCAGGGGTATTTTGATTTCAGCCTAGACTGAAGCATAATTACTAACAGCTACCACACTTGTTTGTACATAACAGGTTCAAGTTGGCTGTTGGTGGCTAAAACAGCAATTGAAATGTTTGCTAGTGCTAGTGATTGTTTGGTAACAGCTGACCAGAGTAGATCAAGGGTTGTGTTGAGTGTGTGCATGCAGCCAAAAAAAGGGGTGGTCCTGGGACACTAGAACACACTATTGAGCCTTTTTGGTATCGTGGGCCCAACTCAACGAAACACAGGTTAGTGGAAAGGAGCACATCTGATGACCCTGTAAACTTGCCATCATGCCTACACCCACACAGAACTTGTATTGGTGTTGGTGATAATATAGCTATAGATTCATTGGAATTGTAAATAGTATTCTTTTATTAGACAATCTTGGTAGATTGATGGGTAAACATCATTTAATGCATTTACTGAAATTCCATATGAATCCTCTCCCATTCTTTGGCACATTTAAGTGTGTATTATTGACTGACTAGCATGAAAAAGGCAGAAATCTCAATATATCCAGACAATGCCATGATGTATCATGCTGCTGATTCTTTCATAGATCTAAAACTTAACCTAGATAAACTAGATCTAGATCATGTCAGGATAACTGAAATGTATTTATAACTAGACAAAAATAAACAACTTAACCTTAAATATATCTAAAATGAAATGTATGTTGTTGGGGACACAAAATAAATTGTCAAGCAGGCCTAAACTAGCATTAACAATATCAGGTGAGAATATTAGACAAATGGAGAGGGCCAAACTGCTGGTTCTGTGTTCACCTTATATTAGGCAGCATACACTGAATCAAGTTGCTAAGTCATTAATTTTGTGCCATCTGTACCATTGTTTGCCAGTTTGGTCATTGGTATCCAAAACAAACATATCAGAGCTATAAGCTGACCAAAACAGGGCTGCTATATTGGTGTCAGGGTATTCGATTAGCACCAAGATTGAAATATCACACTAACCTGGGTTGGCTTAGTGTCCAGCAGTGGATCTCTTTTATCATGGCCAGGATGTTTTATTATTACAATCACTTCTAGGGTGCCTTTGTTTTTATTTGATTAAATTACTTATTGTAATAATACTTACAATTATGATTCTAAATCAGCAGTTAGTGATCTTATAGTTACTTCAAATTCAAAGACAAAATTTATGAAAGACTGTTATTCATAGAGCAGTATTAATTTGGAATAGCTTGCCATTAAAAATAAGAATAATTAGTAGGTTAGTTTTTAGAAGATGATTTTCTTTTACATAATTTTTAATAAAGTTAAAAGTTTCCTTTTATGATTTTGAGTTGTGCTTGTTTTTTTATATGTTTTTAACATATATGGATGTTATGTAATATTATGCAGATACACAGTATATTATTGAATGTATGGGTGCTGGGGACCCAGGAAGATTAGATGGTTGCTTTGCAATCAACTAATGGGCACCCCCTTTTTACTGATAAACAATAAACAGTTTGTGCTCAGTGTGGTAAATAAAAAAAACTGAGCTAAAATCTGCAGTTTCTTTGTCAGAAATGTTTTAGCATTAGCCTACATACCAAAGTGATTCATTTGCACAAACCGTCCAAAAACAGGCAGTGATTTCATCCTGAAAGAAGGGATTGCATTCAGTCTTTGAGACAAACACATTCTCTCAGGCCTGAAGTGCTAGACAGGGCTGGGGGGGGTTCAGATGAGGGGCCTAACCATGCCAAAATGTCTGGATAAATACATCTTAAAGAGAGACTGCGGTTTTCTTGGAATCCTAATGAAGCTGTCTTTTGTGTTTGTGTGCTGGCTGGAGCAAAGTCTGTGGCACTAAAATGAGCATGTCATGCTTCACAAAGTCCCACAAAGCTAAAGAAGAGGCATGGCAGTGCCTGACAGCTCGCCAGAGGTGGCTGTCAGTTTTGGAAACCACACACTTGACAATGGACAAACTCTGACTGACAAATCGCTGTCCTGAGAAAGCATAGAGGGGCTTCATAAATTCTAAGATTTGCAAACTTCAAGCAGTTGGAATCATAGGACATTTAATTTTGGGACAAATCCAATCCAGCTATTACTGCCTACATCAAAAGGTTTGTTGCAGAACTGATCACTATTACAGGGGCTGTCAAGGGATCAACACATTTACATTAGCTTCCTCAAAGATATAACCATTACTACTGTTATCATTATATCAAATTGCAATGGACAGTCTGTGTTCAAGAGGATACTTATTGTTTCAAAAGAGTTTAAATTTTGTCAAGCTGTCATTACTGAAACATTGGACACTGGAGCATATTTCTGGGGAATTTAAAAACTTGCCTAAGTAAGAAAGTATAAGTACATACATTTGTCGACAAAAACTGTAATTGTGGGTGGCAAGTGCTACTGAAGAGATGTTTTTCCTCTCTGTTAATGACTGGTTGAGCTTGTTGTCTCTTGTGCAGCCTCAAGTATTTGTTCTGGAACACTGTCCCTTCCTGCGGGGGGTCTGATTTTTTTGCCAGAGAGGTTTAGAGAAGTGATGGCTGGTAAACACAGACCCAAGCGGAGTCCATAATTAGAGCAGCAAGCAGACCCTGCCAAAACTAAGGCCAAAGGCTTTTCCATGTCAGCTTGTATAAAGCTCAGTTTAACTGGTTTGTTAAAGACTTGTCTTTGTGTCTGAACTGTGACAGCTGCTCATAGATTAAGCGTAAATGAAATAGATGAGATGTGAAACTCGATAATATTCATTTGAGATTTATTCAGGTCATAATTACACATTGTTTGAATTAAATATTGTCCCTAAAATTTTGCACAAAGAACTGGCATGGCAGTGCAAACAATACAGCAGGTCAACAAATAAACGTGCTTCAAAACAAATCATTTCCATTGTGTCTCAGTAAGACCAATGGGGACACTGGGTTACCGACATGATGCTCTTATGACCACCGTCAGACAATCCAAAAAAGAAGTTTGGAATATTTACTTCATTAAAAAGCCTTTGTAAACAGCCATAGGATGAACATTAAAGTACAGTAAAAGACATGCAGTCAATTCAAAAGGGCTAAACTTGATACTGAGCATCTAACACTGTTATTACAGGATCGGAGTGCTGTGACATGCCATAGATCATGAAGGTTAGTAAAATAATGGCAGCTTGGTCAAATTACAATGTAACCACTACAAAAACACTAAAAAATTAAGATAATTCATCCTGCAATGAAGGATTCATTTGTTTCCATTTTTCCAGCAAAAACACAAGACATGCCATAGCTTTTATCATCAAACAGTACATTATCTTCAATATTATACCATGCCATCATTTTCAGAATATTGCTAATGGATGGGTGGGCTGATATAAACAATCTGACCTAAAGTATCTAAATTTCAGTTCAGTTAAATATGCCATTACAGTTCAAGTAAATAAAAGAATTATTTAAAATCCTGCCCTCTAGTTGTGATCTATTGCTACCGTATGCTCTTGTAAAGTTTCAAAAAAATTCTCAGACATGAGAGCAGTCAACCTAAACAGCCATATAAAAACTCTCGGTATTTTTCACTAAATACATTCTGGCAATTTTCTAACATGTGGTGCAAACAGATGACAGAGCTATAATAGTTGCTTTTAAAAGAATCCTTTGTTAGCTGAAAGACAGTTTTCTGAATGCACAGGTTAAAAAAATGGATCTTGCACAACCTCAAAATGTGATTGTTCATGATGAATTCAGTATATCACAGCTATCTGTGACATGCTGAAATAATCTGCATTATGAAAGTTTTCTGTGAGATATTCTGCAATATATGAAACAAGATTTCTACTTGAGAAAACCGGACTGTATTCTAAACGGGTTTCTAGCTGTCCCTGTCACACTCAGTTCCAAGTCAGCCAGTTCTTAGAGATTGATCATGAAAAAGACGTCATTGTTTTCAGAGTCTGGGGAGGACTGGGACTGTCTAGGAGAGGGGGAACCTAGGGGGGTGAGCTGACTCAGCAGGTCCAGACTGGTGCAGGGACTCCGGGCTACGCAACACGCCCCTTCAGGGTTTCCCCTCTCCTCAACAGGACTAGCACTACTTTCACTGCCAATGCTACAAGTAAGGCTAAAGCTTGCACTCCTGCCCTGGAGCAGCCCCTGGAGTCTCTGCCTTTCCTGGGCCTTCTTAGCCCTGTTTGCAATGTAGCGCACCCTACTTTGGCTCCTAGAGGAGGTCCTTCGCACCAGGGTCTCATCCATAGGCTCCTCCTGTGACTCTCTAGGCCTGTTTTCTGGGGCAAAGTCACTAGCAGTCAGGGGCTCCACGTCAGTCAGCTTCCGAAGTTGCTCAGCCAAGTCGCTGGGTGGTCGAGACTTCTGTGGACTACCCTTGCGGAGCTGGTCCCTGGTTGGCCTAACAGTGAAGCTGCGGCTAATGCTGCGGTACTTGCTTTCAAAGTTACAGGAAATGTCATCAGAGGTCAGATCTCCAAGGCTTTTGGACATAGAGGCTGTATCTGTTGGGGTCGTAACTGCTGAGGATGGCCTCCTGGTTGATGACTGCTTGAGCCCTTCCATGTAGAGCCGGTTCCAGGTGTGCCTCCTTTGATATAATCTCCTGGGTGTGTCCAGAGAAGCTTCTTGAGGGGGTTGCAGGGGGCAGGGCTTGAGCTCATCTTTGGGGCACTCGCTTTGCTGAAGATTAGGGTTTGACTTGCTCTTGCTGACTCGCAGGGCATCGTGGGAAACTAATGCTGAGTGACGGCAGCTGATCCAGGTAGGGTCACAGGTGCTGCTGGCTGTTGGCAGGCTGGTGAGGCTCTTCCTGGCTAGGTTAGGCAGGGACAGGTCAACGACAGTGTCATTGGAAGAGATACTAGAGGAGGAGGACATGCTGTCACGGTGGCTGCCTGGCTCCAGCTTGATCCAAAGGCGGTCATTCATAGTAGCATCCGTGCAGACCTCAGGTACTGGTGACTGGGCCTGCCCAGCTGAGGCTACAGCCATCCGAACATGACCTTCACTTTTTGTTCTTCTTACTGGTGCGCTTAACATCAGATTGCTAAAAAGTGCTCTTCTGGCCTGGGCTGTCTGTGCTGGAGCAACTGCAGAGGTTCCAGGGGACACTGATGCAGCAGGAGACTCTGCTCTGTGGTTAGACATCAACTGTGCTGTGTCACTTCTCTTTTCTGTCTGAAATTCTTGATCTTCCCTCTGCTTTGATGAGATCTGGGTGTCTTGGCTGCACTGGGATGGTACAAATTTCTCAGTAGGGTTTGTCAGAGTGAGTGACGAAGTTCTGCAAACAACAGGAGGTTTTTTAGGGTCTCCGTGCAACTTGACAGGACTGTCTGAAACTCCATTTGAAAGAACAGTCATTGGGGAGTCTGCATTTATTGCTATGGATGGTGAGTGCAGCGGTACAGACAAGGAGTGATGTGAAGACAGGCTTTCTTCTGGAGTGGAGACAGAGTGGGCAAAGCATGTGTTACTAGCGTCTTCAGAGTTTAGTGCAAGAAGATGAAGAGGGGAAGCTGGTGTCTGCATGGTGGAACAGTCTGTGGAGAGGAACAAAGAAATGCGTAATTATCATCAGTGTCTTTTTTTGGTCACTGAAAGCATTTTGGCTGTAAAATTGGTAACTGCATCTGCTTAAAAACCAGATATTCACCTATCTAATCCCATGGTTTGGTATCAGCTTGGACTCTGGCCTAAGTAAGCAAAATTTTGCCAGATGTGATTCACATTTTGCTGAATACAGTTTGCTGTTCTGCACTGAGCTCATATTCATGCATGTGCATATTCTTGCATTCTTCATGTGCTTGACATTTGATGCATTTTAAAGTGCAGGCAGTGAACAAGTCAAGTCTGCTCTTTTTGTTGGGATGTGGGTTTAAAACTGCATTGGCAAAAAATATTTTCTTCACTTTTAAACAAAACCTGAAGGTTTGAGGACTAAAAAAACCCTCTGCAGGACAATATTTACAAAAAAGATGTGAATGGTGGATGTGGTGTATGAACATTTCTGCCTCATGTTATCTTTGACACAGTAGAAGAATCAGTTCACTGAGGCTTACAGAATTTTAAGCTGGAGTTAAATTTAGAAAACCACTTCCAGTCCCCAAAACTTGACAAAACAAATTTAATTCAAGGTCCAAGAAACCCAAGCTGTCAAACAAACACCATCCCACAAATGTTCTATATTATCTAAACCATCTTTTTCAAAAGGCAACATCCACTAAAGCACACCAGAAATGTCCTTAATGTAAAGGAAAACTGTTTGTGCCTATGACTAGCTACTACATCAAGTCCAAGCTGAAGACAGGTCTGTAAACCATGATGGATGTTGGCCACAGAGTTTACCATGACCTTTTTTTGGTCGTCATAAAATAAATCCGTGTGAACGCATTTCTGCTTACCACATTTCTCTAAGTGATGTTTCCAAATCTAACCAATTAACATGAGGAGTGCAGTTGTGTTTTATATTATGACTGTCTGATTGGGGTAAAAACTATGAAAGCAAGTGAGGATCAACTGGAATTACTCCAAGACTCAAAACACATCCTTATACTATACAATGATGTGAACAGACAAAAATGGCATGGTGCTCCCATTACTCCAATTTGATTTAGCATAGTTTCAAATTTATATGAACATAGAGAATATGTGACATACAGGTCTTGAGAGAAGCAGGCTAGTGACACAGAGAGGCTGATGGGTGAAGTGAAGGTGAAGATGCACAGGATGAATTTAAAGGCATGCAAGAGGTTTACCTGGATCTGGTCATCCCCTCAATTCTGCACTAGGAACAGAGAGAGCGTGCAAAAGGGACAGAGGAAAGAGGAGTTTAGCAAAACTGGAAGGCAGAGGAAGAATGGAGGCAAGGAGAGAGAGAGAACAGGATAGAGAACAAACATTACAGCATTGTTTTACATTGAGAAGGATGGGAGGTAAAGCTGCTGAGACAGAGACTTATAATACAAGTTCCTAACTAGTAGAGTATCTGCCAACATCATATGACTAACAAATGTCAGTAAACAGCCGCTATTGTAACAAAGCAAAAAACCTAATGCCCCAAACGTACTGCACAGTACTTGATTTTCCACAAAACTCAGTTTAATAGTAAAAACACCGATGGCCACTACATGATAAACCAAGATACTGAGGAGTGGTTGTTGTTGTAGGTCATTAAGACTTTATTCTAAAAACAAAGTTATAATTTACAAGAAAAGGAGCTCATATGATAAAAGTATTATGAGAAAAGGGTTGTAGAACAAAATGTATGATTTGATGAATTTATGATTAGATAGGGTAGATTAAACTACATTTGCACAGATTAAATAGTTGTGAGTTTGCCAGGAAAGAAAAAAGTGCTTGTCCATACCAAGAGTCTAGAGAAATCAGTTTTGGCCTATTGTCAAATGCCAATTTCTTCTAGGATATACTTATTATTTTTAAGTTAATGAGGAGTTTACAGAGAACCTTACACTTCTAGCATGACCTACGTAGCTTAACTAACAGATAACAATCAGCACACTGTCAAGGCTCCAGATGGAACTCACACTTTTGAACCTACACACATGCCGAGAACCAGACTGAAGGCATTATTTGGTGCAGCTGTACTGAATTAAACAGCCTGTGGCAAACAGTCTGGAACACTGTCGCGTGCTTGGGAGGGACAGCTAGCTGTTGCCTGACTGAAAGGGGGTAGAGGGTATGTAATATGAGGGTATATAATATGTATTTATGTACTTTACTTCTACTAAGTTTAGGTTAAAAACTTACCACTTCTCTCATCTGTCAAGCAGTTGGGGAGTATTAGATATAGCATTTTAAGGCAATGACAAGCAAAACTGGAATCAGTCAAATGAAATAGGAATCTATGAGGCTTAGATGAAAACTACAAAATCTAGAAGTGAACTCTGAATTGGTAATGATGGAAAGAATGAATTGGGTGTCCTCAAACTACTGGGGACACACAGGATGTCAAGGTGTCTTACAGGTAGACAGTAGACGGCAGATTTTGACAGCATATGCTACTAAACTATTGTGGTCTTGGCATATAGTATGAAGGCTAACTGGAAGTCCACAGTTCACAGTATGTAAAAGGCCCACTACAGCCACTACACAGCAGCTACTCGGTTATTGGTAAGGCTGCCTCAGATCCATCTTACCAGCGAAGATCATGGGGGACTTATGGCGTAATTCATCCATTTTCTGGGCAAACAGGGCGTTCATCTCTCGCTGGAGGGTGCCTACAGCCCTCTTGCGGCTGTCAAGGACAGAACGTGGAGGCAGCATAGGAGGTGACTCCAAGCTGCTCAGACTGCCAAAGCTGTCACAGCTGCTATCACTGAGCAGGAGACCTTCATTTTCATTACTGTTTGTCAATGGGTTGAGCACTGAGCCACAAACAGTACCATAGTTTGGTGGTGTTGCTTGCTGCCAACGGAGGTTGGTCCTGCAGCCTGTTGTGAGGCTTGGCGCTGGTGTTACAGTGTTGGGAGAGTGTCTGTGAAGAACACAGCAGGACCGGGCGTTCCTCTGTGACGTGTCAGGCTTAGGTCGGATGTGCGGGGCACCCAGAGTTTGCCTAGCTTTGGATCTACGGTAGGGGATCGGTCGGAGGAGAGCCTGGGGTGAGAACTGAAACTGGGCCTCCATGCAGGAATTGGGTTTGGGGGGAGGTTTCTGTAATTCTAACTGGGCAGCTGGGGGCTGGGACTTGGCTATAGGCTCTGGCTGAACCTGTCTATTGGTTGAGGAGGTGCAATTACTTCTGTCCTGTCTCTCTCCATCTGCCATTTTGGACTTGCAGTCCTGCCTTTCCTCAACATGGCCCTTTCTTTCAGCCTCTGGACTCTCATTGGAGCCAATCACACATGTGATGCAGTTGGAGGACACCCCCACCCTGCTTGAGCTGTTACATGCAACACGGGCAAACACCCCTGGCTTTGTGTCCAGTGGGTCACGAAAGCAGAGCTGACTGGCCCGTTTCAGAGGCTCACACGTGGGCTGTCGCTGAGCAGAACGTGAGCTCTTACCTTTACCGTCCCCAGAGTGAAAAGCCGCATTAGTGTCAGGATGGTCCCAGGGCCCCAGGGCTTGGTGGGATGCCAGTGAATCCCCGTTGTGGTGCTGTGGTGGTGTGGGCTGATGAGAGGAGGCAGCAGAGGCCTTGTCTTTCTCCTCAGATTCTCGTTCCTCACTAGCGCCCTCTGAGCTGTAGTCTTTGGTATCGATGGCAATCTCTGGGAAGCCTTTCTTGATTTTGGGCTGGCCTTTGGTGGGTGCACTGGCAGTGCGGCGCAGGAGGTGGGCACCAAACGGGTGCTTACGGCTGTGCTGTGCAGCAGCATGGCTGTCCAGGGAAGACTGCTTTGGGTTTCTGTGAAACAGTCCTTTTATGCCGCTGGCTGCTTTGGCCTGAGAAAAACAGAAGAAAACATCATTGTCATAGCACAAAAAAATGTTAACAATCCAAAATTAATCAGAGAGAGGTCATACTAGAAAATAACAAAATATTATAAGTGGGGGTCCATATTGCATTATTGCAGAGGCAATTTTTACACAGCAAGCATGCTTAGAAAGTAACAATTTCCATCAATTTCCACATTTACCTAAGACATTTCCTGCAATAATGTGTGAATGATCATTGATAGTTTTAACATGAGCTCTAATCCATGCTGAATAGCTTTGAATTCCACTTGGATTCAAAATGTTTAGCCTGTTAGACATTTTAAGTACCGACACATCTGTATACAGCAGCTGTTGTCCCAGTGGTAACATATTAATTAAATAAATACATGCTTGAAGCTATGTGTCAACATTAAACACACACAGCCTGCTCTGCAACTAGTGTGTGTAGAAATGGAAGAGTTCCAGTTTTGGCACTCATTAAATAGACACTGTGGAGGGATCTGATTAACATGGCAGTAATGGGTTAAACATAAGACAAAGTAACACATTTCAATGTAGTTTGGCACATTTGCTACCTACAAAACAAATGCCATTAGAATAAGAAAATGCCATAATCATAGAAAACGTTTAAAATGGTGGACAAATCCAGATCCATAAGAACATTCTTGTGTGCAACCAATACAAAAAGTTGACTGAAAAAAGTAGTAAAGCTCACCTTCAAATGATCTGCCTATTTGTTGCACTTGTTTCACTTTAAAATGTAACATATTAGCTGCTGCATGTTATGGGTCAAAAGTCAGTGACTGGGGTAGAAATGATAATGATGAGAACATTCATACCGTACACTGACAACGATGACTGTGCATTTCATTTTGACATTCTGGTAAATGATGTTAGACCACTCCACAGGAAGACCAAATCAAAAAGCGCTTTAGTGAGACAAGGCATCGTGTCACCTACAATCCTTGCCATTACTTATCACAAAACCTTTAAACAATGTGAAAGAAGTAGATCCAAATAGTCTGACCACTGTGACAAATGGCTTACTGAACAACCGCCAACAGGAAAGCAGCACCACAGACAAAAAGACAAGGTGATAAAGAAAAGAGTCTTTGGTGGAGTGAAAAACAGGGAAGCAGGCTGAGCCGCACATGATAATCACTAGGAGATGAAGCTCAATAAATCATGTCCTGCTAGCTGAGATACTTTTGGTCCACAAATCTTTGCATCATACTGACAGATGTTTCTATTATTTTGTTGACCTAATTTATATAGATGATGCTAGACATAACACAGACCCCTCTACAATGCTCTGCAGTTCGACAGCAGCCCAGCCCGTCTAAAGCAGCTTGAACAAAAACTGAACATTATCACCTTCATGAAGGGAGGATTTACTGCAAGAATGCTGGATTAGACTGACTTAGTTTTAGCTAGATGTGCCTAAGAAAAGGTCTGCTGAAATTGAACAGAAAACCAAGAAAATGATTTGCTGTGCAGATGAGAAATTTCAAAAATAAGTCATTTGACAAAAAACACCTGTCAGGAAAATGTCTACACATTGTTTTCCATAATGAAAGAAAAAGACAGCATACATAGTCATTGAAAAAAAAAAAACAACAACAAAAAAAACAAGGGTAGAGATGAATGTCCTCAGATGCACTGGAACTGTATACCCCTGCAGTGCAGCACACTGAAAAAACTCCTGAGTTAGGAGGAAAAAATGTTCTCTGCAAAAAAACAGCAGAGAGAAGTCACTGCAGCCTGGCAGAGGTCCTGACTCACAGCTCTCTCTGTGCAGGCTGATGACATTGGATCTACTTGGGGAGTTTAATGAAGATGCAGACACGTCAAGCCGTCATAACTCATGTGAGGCATGAGTTGGCCTTATAGTTTGTGATGCTCGCAGTTGGCTGACAAGAGGGTTGTGTGCAGGGGGGAGTGTGTCACTGAGGTGGCAAAAAGGGTGGAGCGTGTGGCTCATGCAAGATGCTGACTGGGTCTCACTACACCTGAGTTTTGAGTGGCAGCTTCAGGACTCCTAAAAATGTCTTGCCTCTAAATGGAGCGTTTGGAAAAAGAGTGGTCCACTGAAATAACAAAGACACACAGGAAGAGAGTAAAAATCAGAAAGGGGGAGGATGAGAGAGAGAGAAAAATGGGCAGGGTGGGGGTGAGAGAAAATATAACAGGAAGCACACAAAAACAACTGAGCAAGACAAAGTTCAAAGCAAGGACAATGAATAAGACAGAGGTCATTTAGAGTATGGCTGGAGACAGCTGAGTGGGCAGAGGGAGACAACCAACACCCATATGGTCACAGCGACAACTTTTTTGTGATCCAGAAACAACACTTTGAAACAGAAATAGCAGCAATAATACACACAGTCAATGTAGGGCAACAGAAACTGTCACAACATAATTTTCATTTCCCTTAAGTAATTGTTTAATAGAGTTTGTTTAGTAGAGTAATTGTTTCAGCTGGAATTTATGTTGAAATGAACAGAAGGAAGCTTATTTCATAGGAAAGGTTTAGATGTTGATGCAGATTTTTCACACTTCCAGGTGGCACCTACCTTACCAGCGATGTCATTCACAGCTACATGAACAAAGATGGAAGCCTCCTCCATGCCTTCCAAGTACACGTGGCGATAGCCTGCACAAACCATAGGCATAGCCACATCATCAGTAAGTCAAACACAAGGGTGCAGATAGAGACAGCTAAACATGTGTTGTATCATTCAGAAGGGCAACAAAGGTCCACCATCATCATTTCCTTTATCTGTGGTTGATGTTACACTCCAAGTCAAGTTTATTTCTACAGTGCCTTTCATACACAGTGGCACCTCAAGGTGCATTACATTAAAAACATAGATAAGATCATGAAAATCCAAAGTATACAATCAGGCAGCAAGTATAATAAATACATAAAAGAATCCACCAAAAACAATACACACACTGACACACATACAGTACACTACCTCACATTTGCACATGACCACCTATAAAGTCACTGACTGCAACCCACTAACTGGATCTTGATACTGTAAGGCATGGTGTCCCTTAAGGCTTGGTACTTGGCCCAGTACTACTTTCTGTATACAGTATGTATTCAGTACTTCAAAATTATGTCCACTTTTGCCTTCTCTTCTAGCTTTAAACACCTGATTAATTGTTTTTTCTTGAATGTAAATTAAAAGTAAATGCCATTATCTCACTGGGCTACATATAAACATGACACAATTAATGACAAAAGAAAAGTAGCTGGCATCCAAAGAGTATTGTTATTGTGAAGGTCAGAGCCTATATGGACTGAACACATGGTCAGTACATGTCATGGCTTTTCCTCTGAGTTCATTTTTGATGCATATGAACTTACTTTGGTTTGATCAGTATGATCTTGTGTGGTCTTGTTCAGTGACTTAGCTGGAAATACTGCAACTGAGTCCTGGGCAGATGGATGAACTCTTGATCTTCACAAAGCAGATCCAGTACCGATAATAACTCCCCCTCAAACCACGAATTGTTGTTTTCAAATTTATCTCTTTTTGTATGAATTATAGGTGTGTCTCTCTCTTTTTCAGTTCTTTAATACTGTTGTCTGCCAGTACAAGTACCATCATATACTTCGATTAACCTATATGACACAGCTGCCAAGAGTGCATTCAAGTGCCCAGTGAGCCTTATAACTGATCTAGGACATCACTAGCATTGATTACACAATCAGCAACATATTCATGCTAAGTGTATTCCTTCACTTCGGGTCAGGGCAGAGGCAGACTAAGCACATCCATACTCTAGCGGAGTACTTAACACACAAACATTCACTATCTCAATCTCTGAAAGAATGGAAATAATCCTATTTCAAAATGTTGACCTGTTCTGTTAAAAACCTCCACTGAAGTCATTCATAATAGAATGGGGCACCAAACAATTGTAGTCTCAGAAGCATTCCCAAAGAGTTTCTGATATCCACACAGTGCAGTACTTTTCATTCTTAAAATAAATATGCTGGATCAAGCTACATTATTTAAATTATCTTAGAGAAAGACAACAGTGCTTCATATCTTACCCTCTAATATCCCTTAATCTCAGCAAACAAAATTTGTATGACTATAGAAATTGTATACATGACAAACCAAATGCAAAACAAGACTTTTAAGGGTCACCATAGAAACATAATCTGTGGGTGAGGTGAAGTGTATCTATCAGTTCCAAACTGGTGTGTCACCATACCTGGCATCATGCTGTTGAAGGCAATGGTGCGCTGGCCGATGAAGTCCTGGCCGATGGGGTCATGATCCCACACGAGGAAACGAACCAGGGCCAGCTCCGGCAGGTGGACCGTGAACACCAGAGTCTCCTCCCACATTGGATTGAACCCTATGGTACCATCCCGAAAGATGTCGCAGGCAGCGGTGTAGTAGGAGGATGGAGAGGAAGGGGGTGAGGGAGGGAGGGAGAGAGCAGCGGGAGGACAGAGGAAATTTGAGAGGTGACAGGAGAACGTGTGAGAAACAAACACGAAGAAGAGAAGAGACATTAGGCAGATGAAACAAGACGAGAGAGAGATAGGAGATGGAGAGCACAGACGGTACAGGACAGAGTCAGAGAGCGAGTTCAGCACTCATCAATTATTCAGCACCTGTGTGTGTGTGTGTGTGTGTGTGTCTGTGAGCCGACTAAGAGGTGCTGCCTGTGCACGTCTCTTTAAGCTGAGCGCATCAATTATAGATCAGAGCCTATACAGACAGCTTTTTTTCTCTCTCTCACACACACACACACACACACACACACACACACACACACACACACACACAGAGTCACAATCACTGCTCCAATGTGCACACATGCATTAATCACGTCAGAGGCAAATCACAACAAGCCACATCTCCCCTCAAGCAAACACTTGAACATCATGTGTGGCTCACTTCAGAGAACGCAGCACTGAGGAGCAGTCATCATCAACCTTTATTTAATCAGGGTAAACCAGTTGAGAGCAAGCTCGCATTTTCAATGAGACAGTAATAGATATATACACATGCATCAAATAAAATCAGTATTTAAAATCCAATATGAGATGTCACACATTAAAACAATAAAATATAAACACACAATCAACATAAATAAAGTCATATTAAAAACACAGTCTCCAGATCAACTGTTACACACACATTTAAACTGCAAATTACTATATAAAGGCAGTTTAAGTTGGACTAAAACATGGAATGAGAGTAGCCAGTTTTGTCTTTTTCTGCAATCTATTCCATCTTTGCGGGGCATAGTAACAGAAGGACATCTTTCCTACTTCTTTAGGAACAAGAACAATCCTGCAGAACAAGATTTTCTTGTGAACTGGTCTGGTTTATGCTGATGATTTATAACTCAGGAGGGAGGGAATTTATTAAGTAGGGCTTTATAGATAAATAACATACAATGATGCTCTCTTCTCAGTGTCAAAGATGGCCAACCTACTTTGTGATATAATTCACAATGGCGAGTCCTAAAGGGATCTCCAGTAACAAATCTAATAACAGCATGATATACTGAGTCAAGTGCTTTCAAGGTCTTGGCAGAGGCATGCATATATATTATACCATCATAGTCTAGTACAGATAAAATTGTTGCCTGTACCAACTGCCTCCTGTGACACTCATTAAAACAAAATTGGTTTCTATACAGAAAGAAAAGTATAGGCTTAAGCAAAACAGTTAATTTCTCAACATGCAATTTAAAACTCAGCTTGTCATCTAACCCAAAGCCAAGATATTTATATGCAGAGACTTTGTCAATGACGGCATCATTCAGTGTAGCTATATTTAACTTTAAAAGATCAATTTGACATTGTTTTCTAGTAAAACTCATATACTTTGTTTTACAGGATTTGAATGTTAGTTTAAGACCAAGAAGATGATGTTGAACAATGTTAAAATCAGACTGCGAATGTTGAAAAGCCTGATCAGTGGAGGAAGCCACTGTATAAATGACTGTGTCATCTGCTAATTACTTTGGATCCTAGATCATTAAGAAAAATAGTGAGTAAAGTGGGACCCAAAATGGATCTTTACGGAACTTCATTAAAAATACCCAGAAAATTTGACTTAATTCACTACAAGTCAATAGACAGAGACTATAGGTGTTTGCAGCAAAAAGGCCAGTAGTTAACCTTAGATCTTAATTAAATTGGAACGGTTAAAGCCTGGTCACACCAGAACGTGAACTTCATCTATGCATCCTTGCAGAATCTTGGTGAAGTAGGGACTTACAGGCCTAGTTGACAGATTACCCTGGCTGGCAAACAAACTGCTTACACACTAGCTGGCAACCTCACACAGCAACGCTCTCAGGTAGCTGGCCCGTTAACTTTCAGTCGACTCCTAACTCATAACAACCATCTTATCTTCTCTACAACAATATCAAATCTCTACTCATTAGTCAATACAGGACATTTTTATAGAAGCAGGCAGACAGAACCTGAATGATTCACATCTCCATCACTCACCGTTATCATCCACCACTCTGGTCTGCTCCTTGCTGCAATCCACTGGGAGGCCGATGATCTCCACCTCTACAAAGGGATCGATGATCTGTCAGAAAGATGTTGGGTTACTAACCATCTTCTTTGTTGTCAAGTTCCAGGGCAGTTTAGTGACCACTTTCTATTTCTGCTTTGGCAGTTTTGGATAAATCTGATTTACACTAGAGTTTGGATGAAAATCAGCATCGCCACTCAGAGAAGGTGACACAGTAGCATGATCCTCTGAAAACCCTTTGTAAGAACTACCTGGTATAGCTAGTTAATTTATTAAAAGTACTCAACTGATTTATCATTTCACTCCTGTAACACTAGAACAATTGGAAGATGAACTGAGTATTATAAAAGATTTCATTTCACCCAGTCAGCAGCAGACTGATGTAGAGATGAAGTGGAGATGGGGAGTGGGCTGCACCTTCTTTCACTTTTCACACTTGTAGTTTTCAAACTGAACCAATGCTGACTCAAGTGATGTCACTTGAAGACATTTAGCGGCCTTTTCACAGGTACTTCTGGAGACACTAAAGGCTTTGAAAAGTTCTGCTTTAAATGTCTAGGCTCTCCTTGTCTGGACAAAATTCCATGATATTCCAAGAATTCCACAACCTGTGAGGAGACTAATTCTCATGGCAGTAAAGTGCATGTAGTAGGTGACAAGTGGTGCATGAAGCAGTTTGGTGTTACTTATTCAAACACTGTCACAAACTGAAAGATGTATTACAAACTGGGTGAGATCTTTAAAACTATAAACATTTCTTAGATCATTTTTGAAATGTAAATGTTTTTACTGTTGTTTAATTACCTTAATATCCACACTACAGTTGTACAAGTGGGTGTCCTACCTCTCCTCTGTCTCCTAACATAGAGTCTTTGGGTTTGGGCAGCTGTTGTCCACTGATGATCTTCAGCACCAGCTGTTTCTTCATCTGACCTGGCAGCGGATCCTCCACATGGGGATTAAAGGCACCTGCAAAAAGAAAGACTTTAACTGTGATGCTTCACTTAGAAAATGAAATTGAAATGTTTAGACAACACTGTCTAAACATTTAGACAACACTGACATTGATATCTTATTAAAGAAAGAGGTTATGTTAGCATACATGTTAGCACACTACTGTTCTCTAATGCAAACACATATTGTAACCAAACCAAAAAGAGTAGGGCCACTAAACATGCTGAATTTCATGCCTGCCAGTGCACATCTGAAATTCTAAAATGAAAATATTCCTGATAAATATAAACTCCATATTTCCAACAAAAATGATGTGAAAAAATCTGTTTTATGTCCTGACCTTCACACATGTAGGCAGGCTTGAGGATGTAGCCGCAGTTGCTATTGCTGTAGAACTTGGCTCTATTGAGCTGGAGGACCCGACCCTCTGACTGGTAGTTGAGTGCAACTGAAATCCAAAACAGTTCACTTATTCATTATCAACAGGCTGCATACATTTTACTTTAATGTGCTGCCTAACAGCTGCTCTTGTGAGCGCAAAGCAATCAGTAAGACTGTGGCTAATTGACAGAAAACATCTTGATAAACAAGCAGAAGGAATAAGAGCCATGGCAGCAGCATAGATCATCCTGAGTGGCTGAGTGTTTTAAATGCAACGATGAAGCACATGATAGGTTAGGTTAGGCTCATACCAAGCTGGCAGCCGGCGTTCCAGAAGGGCTGGGGGTTGAAGTTGGATGAGTCCACACGATAAGATGAAGGGTAGATGCGGGACAGTTGTCGCTGGTTGAAGTGACAGTTGTCATGGTGATACCATCACTATCACTGGATGTTTTGTTTCCACATTTGTTCACTATCTCTATAATTTCCTTTTCAGCTATGGGCTTCAAAAACATAGAACTCATGTTCCTTTCGATTGTATTATTTATAGTGACGGATGTATCATCTGTACAGATACTTTTTGCTAAACCAGGACCAACATTCACAAAGAACCTATTAAACTTTCAACTACATCCTCCAATCTATTGACCAGTGTATCATTATCCATAAAATATTGAGGGTAGTTACTCTTTCTAGAACTGTTTCTAATCAATTTATTTAATATATTCCACGTACCTCTCATGTTATTTTAATTATCCTCTAATATTTTAGAGTAATATAGTTTCTTACATCTCCTCAGAATCTCAGTTAATTTGTTCTTATATGACTTAAACATTGACATTGATATCTTATTTAAAAAAGAGGTTATTTTAGCACAATACTCTCTCTAATGCAAACACATATTGTAACCAAACCAAAAAGAGTAGGGCCACTAAACATGCTGAATTTCATGCCTGCCAGTGCACATCTGAAATTCTAAAATGAAAATATTCCTGATAAATATAAACTCCATATTTCCAACAAAAATGATGTGAAAAAATCTGTTTTATGTCCTGACCTTCACACATGTAGGCAGGCTTGAGGATGTAGCCGCAGTTGCTATTGCTGTAGAACTTGGCTCTATTGAGCTGGAGGACCCGACCCTCTGACTGGTAGTTGAGTGCAACTGAAATCCAAAACAGTTCACTTATTCATTATCAGCAGGCTGCATACATTTTACTTTAATGTGCTGCCTAACAGCTGCTCTTGTGAGCGCAAAGCGATCAGTAAGACTGTGGCTAATTGACAGAAAACATCTTGATAAACAAGCAGAATGAATAAGAGCCATGGCAGCAGCGTAGATCGGTTAACATCCTGAGTGGCTGAGTGTTTTAAATACAACGATGAAGCACATGGTAGGTTAGGTTAGGCTCATACCAAGCTGGCAGCCGGCGTTCCAGAAGGGCTGGGGGGTGAAGTTGGATGAGTCCACACGATAAGATGAAGGGTAGATGCGGGACAGTTGTCGCTGGTTGAAGTGGATAAAGGATGAAGCTTTCTGCTGCATCACCTGGTGGGCTTTGGTCTCACTGAGAGACGACACCTGCCAACTGCAGCTGGCTGCCAAGGACAACACAAAGACGGTTTTGTTTTCTTCATCCTTCTCATTGACTTCCATTTGTTTAAATGTTGTCAAGTCAGGCTAAAGTGATTTAGCAGTGTATGTTTGCCTGAAGCTAACAACTGTCTAGAGTGAAGAGGACTGCTCACCTTGTGCCTCGATATCATAGAGACCCACAGACTGTGTGTATTTGACCAGATCAGACAGCGCCCTGGATAACTTCATGGTCTTCTTCTTTCTGTAAGGCCACCAAAGGTCAGGGGTAACAGAAGTACATAAATATGCATATGTAAAGGTCTGGCTGGCCCTGGGCACTTCCTAAGGGCAACTCCTAACCTGCCTTACACAACCTAATGAGATGTGCAAGGCTAGCGTTTGGCACTAGCACAAGGCACAATTATTGTTGACCTTTAAGGTCATGAAATAAAAACAGTTCATTAAGATGTGAAGAAAGGCTGTTTTTAAATGGCTGTTTGCTGCAGGCATTGTATTTACTTCCCTTACTTCAAAAAACAAAAAGTGTAATTTGGCCAAAGTTTTGCATATAACTGAATATAGAGTGAGTCAATAATACAGTATATAATAGAGTAACAATGTTCATATGTGCATGTATTTTATGATGATTTAAGCCCAAATCTATTTTGCACATAAACATACTGAACTAGAAGGGTGTGTGTGTATACAGTATGTGTAGCATACTTGCTGTGGTGCAAGGGGGCACGGGAGGCACTGCTTGTGCTCTCCTGGTCTGTATCCGTGTCTTCAAAGCTGGACGTCTTTTTCAGCTTGGTCGTTTTCTTCTGCAGAAGAAAAGAGGTATTAATGTGTGAGAGACCAAAGAATATTGGTGAGAGTTCTTTTCATGCGTAACAGCCTTCAAGAGAGGATTAGTGGCAAAATTCAATTTGAAAATGAAAAGTATCTCGTATGCTTAAGAAATTCTCTATAATCTGATCAAGAAATTAGATGTTCTTTCCTTGGAATACTTAAATTTAAGACAAAGTTCTGGTAGCCTGATTCAGTCAAACAGAATGAGTACACAAATTGAAAGCTAGGCCGTCTTTCATCTGTTTTCACTGATTAATCACTGCATCATTTTTAAACTAATAATCAAGTTTAGGTTTTTCTCTTTCAACATGTGCTTTCTCAACTGGTATATATTCTGTATTTATTCTGTTTTTATCATTGTGCACATCAGGACCATTGGGTCAGCAAATGTCCATCAAACACAAATAACAACGGGCCTTTGCTCTATGAAATTCCTCAGAAATTACTTTATTCTTATCCTAAAAGTTACATGACTAAGAAAGATGCAAACGTTTCGGGATAGCTGTCCAGGTATCTGTCAGAGTGCTGAGGAAACAAAGAAACAAAAACTAAAACGACCAACTTTGCGTTTAGAGAAGCTCCCCATGAAGGAACAGCTCGTACGCTTGTTGCTGCTGGGATTAGCCTCGTCCGCTGTGTCCGTCCCATCATCACTTTTAACCTGACAGCAAGGAAAGATGTTTTGTGTGTTTTGCTGTATGGAAACACTTCCAATATTTGTTAACTGATAATGAGAAAAAAACACAAATTAGTTCTTCCCCTGTCACTCACACATTTGTGCCACATTTCTATCACTTGGACTGACATTTTATTTTCAGGCTTTGTTTGGGACGATTTAAATAATTGAATACAAACTGAAAGAAATCACTTTACCATTACTTTCTTTAGCCTCCAGTAAGATTCCAGTTAAATGTGGAACACTGTCATACTGTAGCTTCAACACTCAACATTAAGTAAAAACAAGACACCAGAGAAAAATGATCAAAAACAGGACATCAGCAACAGGATTTCAAGAAACTGAGGCAGGAACAGAAAGAAAGGCTTCTAATGGCATGTCAGAGATTCTATTGCACTGTCTGCAGAGTGTCATCCTAGCTGCTAATTTATTTCAGAAACATCAGAGAAGAGACTGGCTCACCCTGACTTTCTGTCTGTGTTTACCTTAGGGCCAGTTTTGCCTGTGGGCTTCCCAGCAGGAGGGAAGGCTGCAATGGTGAAGCTGTCTGGGTCCTCTCGGGTCTTGGACTCCTTCATCAGGTTGTCCAGCTTTTTCTTGGCCATGTTCTCCACCTGCTTCCTGTTGGCTGATGTCTGGAGGAGGAACAGTTATACAGAGATTTATGAGGATGCATGATCACATGATTCAAGAGGTTAGGGTAACTCTGACCAGCTCCAGTCTGCTGGGAGTCACAGATGTGACATGTTTTACATCTGCGCTCCACGACTGCAGCAGACACTTTATATTAGCAGGAAACCAAGAACAGGACACACAGCGAAAATCTCAGTGTAATGATGGCTCAAAAAATATTTTAATTCAGGAACGATTTCACTGAAGTGGAAAAAAAGAGTGTTTTCCTATTCTAGGTGAACTGACCCTTTACGTCAGCTTGCTTTATCTGAGGTGCTACTGTAGAAAAAACCATGGCAAATTCTCTTAACCTGATCTGCCCAGACTGACAACACCACATCATGCAGAATCCTACAAGAACTCACATTTTGTAAGGAGCCAAGATGAAGCAATACATTATGTAACACACAGCAGATTCTCTGAGAGCGGCTGATGGATGGACCCCACAGTAACGTAAGCACTTCCACATGTGACAGCGTTACTGACAGTGACAGTGGAGCATCCTTTAAACGGATGAAGTGGAATAAATGACAGCTGTCCTTTTCGAGAAGTCAAAATAATATGCACAGTTTGTGCACATGGTGGCAGAGTTTATCCATAAACCTCCTCAGTGTGTAATCAGGCCACAGGCAGCAGCAACATGCTCCATGAACAGCATTATGTCTATGTGCTCAGTGCAGATGAGTCAAAACAGAATATATAAGACCAATATTGTGCTTTGACTTTTAAAGACGGTGGTTCAGTCAGTGCTGTCCATCTGATACGATGGATGTGATGTTGGTGGATTTCTTTTTTTTTTTGTAGAATTGATAAATATTATGTATGTTGTATTTTTTCTCTTTCAAATAAGAAATGACTGAGAGGCTTTTCCACCCTAATGAAAATACAGCACCATGAAAAAGTCTTTGGCATTCAAAGTGAAGAAGCTTTCGAAAATAATGCCATACACATTTTTATTTATCAGTGAACTACTTACAAAAGTGCAGCAAAGTTACAAAGTGCAGCAAAAACAACAATCAAGTGCTTGCTATAAAATCTAAACTCCCCCAAATCAAACTGAGACTCAGGTAGGACAATCCTTTGCCTTGGAAGCAGTACCAGTTCTCCTTGGAACACCTGCACACAGATTTTCAAGGTGCTCGGCAGGTAGGGCATCCAGCTTCTTGGAAAATAGGACAGGAACATAACTCTCTGGCTATAAGTCAAATGTTTGCACAATACTGTATATTTTGAGCAGATATTGAATACTTAAGATGCTTTTTGCAGAATTCTTTAACAACACCTTCAGCCTCGGTACTTAAAGAAACTTTTGTCAGTGCATTTGTTTAGTAAAGTGAAGAAGGAACCCACACATTCTGTCATGTGTTTGAACTAAACATATTACTTAGGAACTGATACCGAGAAATCTTACCACAAACATCATTACGTTAGTGTTAGTGGGAGAAGGCAATAAAAAAGTAACACGACAACATTAGCCTATCCTAGCAGTGTTGCCTTAATATTTTAATGATGCTCCACCTTGAAATTTTTTCTTGCAGCTCAAAAGCTAACTTGTACTTGCTGCTGTCTGCTGTTTAAAAAAACAAAAAAACAAAAACAAAAATGAGATATAAAGTTTATCATTATCATTGTTATGATTTATCAGTTCCCAGAGCCTCTATTAGAAACTTAATCATTCTCACATTCTTTCCTTTCTTGAAGTTCTGAGACTATCCCCATTTTAAAAACATTGTCCAACTTGTAGCTGGCTGCTAAAGCCAACGCCTGCCATCAAAATCCTACTAGCTAAGTTCCTACTACTAGTTTTCAAGATCCCTCTGACCAATTTTTGGGGTCATTAATGCTAATCTTTTTTAAGTGTACTACTTGAGTCTGACTTTGTTTCAACTAGCTTGAATACCTAAAAGACACCTTTCCATGTGGATTTTTGGTTCCAGACAAAGAAGCCATACACAACACTTCTGACGGAGCATCTTAAAGATTCAGTACTGCAAAGTGTTTTTGAGCCTACCATGGTCAACTTTCACAGGCAGGATGAGAAAGCAAGGCACATGACTGGGTGAGATTTCTGAGGTGAGGATGAGCTTTTCATACAGTACCTTCCACTTTACAGAAGCAAGCAAAGGTTGAAGAGAAGAAGGAGGGACAACGGGAAGAGAGAAAAGCAGGACATGAGAACAAATAGCCACTGAGAAAGAGACAGAAGCAAATAGCAGAGGTAGCAGTACAGGAGCAAAGATGAGGAAAACACTCCATCACCGCCGATTAGTTTAAACCATCAGGAATAGGAAAAACGTGCGCATGTCAGCAGCTGGACACAAAGACACACAGCCTGCCTGTAACTCTGGTAGACAGAAGAGATACATGTGATGAGGAGGTGGACCGGGAACGTACGTCTCCGTTCATTAGCTTGCAGTCGTCCTCCATCTCATCAGCACTGTCTTCATCCGATACATCCCCCTCCTCTGCATTCTCATCGATGTTGGCAGGCAGCTTCTTCCCCTGGCGGAGAGAAGAACGAATCAGTGGAGCTTCACATTATAATAGACAGCTGGAACAGTCATTTAATCAATGCATGGGTCAAAGGGCATTTCTGGAGTCCGGGAGGTTAAAGGTACAGAACATGTTTTGCAATTACAATTTGCCATATTTACTCTAAGTCCTCTCAGTCGACCCTACTCACTGCCAAGGACCAGTGGTCATATAGGCTGAAACAGGAGCAAACAAATCTGTATTTAGCAGAAAACAGGAACAGGCCTATTTGCTGGTGTTTGAGATGACACAGTATGGTGTTTCCACTCTGCACATGTTACTGAATGACATGCAGATGTTTCAGGTGTTTTACATTAACATCCATTTTTGATGGTCATGAAAGTGAGACACATTTTTCCCCTTGATAATGTAAGGTTGACTTAATAAGCAACAAAACCCTCTTGCTAAATTCAATACGCTCAGAGGATTCTTATTTTAACAGTGACCATTACAGCCTGCAGGTGTGAACGTGGATGGGGTGTTACTGCAGAAGAGAGAGAACTTACTCTGTCTAAATAAAGGTTAGTTAGCTTTGTTTCTGTCATGTGACTGTTTTTAATACAGTCAAGAAATTTATAACAAAGAGTCTGAAACATTTCTAATATGTTCACCTTTTAGAAATTGCTGAAGTCTATAATTCCTGTCCTGCCTAGCAAACTCTCTTGGAAAACAGAACAGCAAAGGTTTGCAAAGGATGTAATATTTGATGAGTATGTGTGAACTGTGTCCATTCACAGTACCTTTTGCACTTTGCATTATTCCCACTGACATGGCCTCAGTGGAGAAGAATAGGAGAAGAATAGAGAGATACAAGGCTCAACAGTGAAGGACATTCAGGTTCAGCTGTACCACATGGACCCTCTCTCACTGTTCCCTAACAAACGAATAGTTTGTCCAGTGGTTCGCAATCATTCGCAGTCACAGTGGTGGCATGCAGCACTGTGTGGCTGATGACTGACCCACAGTGAGACTGCTCAGTGTTGCAGAGAAGCCAGGATGTTGAATATCAGTCAGTGGTGGGTGACATGGGGATGGTGAAATGTCACTACACTGACCAGAGAATAAAAACATAGCATGAGGTAAAGCTTTGTCTCCCTGCCTTCATCAGGCTCCACATCACTCCCTGCTTCTGTTCACCTTTCTGATTCAGTTTCATTCTCAACTTCATCTCTTCCTTTCTCATTTCCTCACCACCTCCTCCTGTGGCTTTGTCCTTCTGTCTCTCCTGCCTACTGCCTGATCTCAGTGTTCTTTACAGTGCTTACACATCGGTGCCATCGGTAACACTCTGCTGAGCGCACACACAGGTAGTAGTGCTGCTGTAACAGCTGGTGGAGCAGTGCTTAGCATACCACATATTGGCAAGGTGCCTTCTCTTCAGTGAAAGCATCTGGTGTCAATAACGTCTCATTAACCTTGGTACTGTTCCCTCCCCTTCTGCTGCTCATCAACATGCTCTCCTCCCACAGGTGCTTCGAGCCATGTGGGAAACTAACTTGGCTTTAACGGGTCAGACAATGACAATGACCATGTGCTGTGCTGTTTATGACCACTCCACGGAGACCGATGGATGCTGCAAGTTCTGGCTTTTAGTTGCTTGGTTCTACTGTACTACTGTATGCTGTAGTAAACTATAACAATAAAAACTGCCCTTTGCTGCCTTAGCGTTGACTGATGTTCAACTCTAAATTAACTTTTATAACTTCGGGCTCAGTGTTTTGCCCAAGGACACATTGCCCTGTGACCAGGAGAAGCAGGGGATTGAACTGCCAACCCAACAGTGAAGCTAACTACCATAAACTGCTCCTGAGCTGCAGCTGCAAACACGTTTAACCAATTATCTGCAGTCACCTGGATTCAGGATACCATCTGAGATAATGAGCCAGCCGGCAGTATGCTGTTCCTACACACAGTCAATTACACATCTCAAGTTTTTATTCATTACAGTCAAGTTTTGTTTTTCACTCCTGTCATTTTCAGTGTAATCACATCACTTCGATCAGCCCGCTACCTCGCTCCGCTCTGTGAGCTTCAACCTCTGGACAATCACACGGTGAGCTGAGGTAGTAGCCTGAGGACCGACTCCTCTCACTGAGGACAATACCTTACCTTTTAAACCTCCAAACAGTGCTCCTCAGTCCTTTATACTACTGTACACCCACACCCTGACTTTACCTTAACGAGGATTTTGCCCTTGAGCGTTTCTGGCGAAGGCAGCCGTCCAGACTCATTAGCTTTGACAGTAGACAGGTCCAGTTTTCCCCCAAGGATCTCAATCAGGTACTGGGCCATCTTCTTTTGCTGAGGAACACTGCAGTGGTTCTCTATGGACAGGATAACTGGGTAGCTGGGAGATAATCACGCACAACAGACTTGAGTTAGAAGGCTGAAAGGTGTAGGATGAGGACACACTCAAGCATGAGTATAGACACCATACACCGTACAGCACAACAGCACCCAGCAACGCACAGCATAAGGTATTTAAATAAAATGTAAAACATTCTTTAAGCTGGCATCTAATTTAGTATTTTCCTTAAAAATCCCTAAACATTTTAAATAATAATTTGGTAAGTGCAGTTTCCTATGATGCATCCTTATATTCAAATAAAACAGACACCAAACATATTTCCACATGGATGTCATTTCAAATGTCACTGACTATAGTGTATTGGACAATATATGTGATTTTATTGCAGATGACTGAACCAATCCAGCACCATGTTTACCTGGTAGGCCATCAACAGAGGACACATTTATTCATTGCAGGTGGTGATTATTTAATGAGCACTTGATGGACGGTCAAACAAACTGGTGTCAGGAGAGTGCAGTTTTAGTCTGACAAATAATTCTGACAGATGGCGGATGGAGATTTTCCACTGCCCAAGATCTAGAGAGTTATGCAGGCCATCATTTCTGATTTGATTGGACTGTTGGCTTTGACAGTGAGCTGACTGGATCTTTATTACCCATTAGCTTATATTTAACCTATGAACCTAGCAGCTGATTGGCTGAGAGTATGTCCTAGTGGCTTAGAGGTCCTCTGGGCTGTTTTAACAGCCGACCTGCTTCTTGGTTTACTCTCAGAACAAAACTGTGGGATTCCTAAGGCGGGCAGCATGGCTCTGTGGAATAGCAATGGGATGTTCTGTGAATATGGACTGAAGGCAGATTCATGCACAGCAACGTTGTCAGGTCTAAAGATAAACAGTATTTACATTACAAAAAGATTATAATGAATCTGTAACATTTAACTTAATTTTCTACACAATTGCATTTAACATATTTTAAAAGAGCATGTGTTTGTGTAGCTCTGGCAGTAGCACAGTCACACCACTCTTTAAAGCTTTCACACTCGCAGATTTAAATAAAGGTATGTTCAGATAAGCTGTGTTTTCTTGCGATGTGATTTCGAAAAGTCTTTGATTCACTGATACCTACTGTAATAATAAATGAACAAGCAGAACAACTTGCAGATGACACTATGAATGTGAGGTTGTTAAGACTCTTTATCCTCAGTGCTCTGCAAGATACTGGTCACAAGTTATGGTAGCACTTGCAAAATGACACCAACAAGAACGTTCTTTCATTTGTAGTGAAAAACTAAACGAGCACATCTGATGAGTATGTGTAGAATAACATTGAATTCATCCTTTCTAACTGCTGTCAAGCATGTAAAGCAGGTCTTCAGAGGGAGCTACATTCTGGAGCAGACTCCTTGTTCACAACATACTGGCTCTGATGACTCCCAGTTTCAGTCAGATGGAAGCCTGTCATCCCCATTCTCCTCTGTCAGCCCTCTGAAACGCCCGTTTTCATTCAGCATCCCGCAAAATTTGATTGCTCTTTGAAGTTTAATACAGCTTTTCACCCTGCCCCATTTGAACCAATTATCTGTGGAATATGGTGCCCACCACTGTCTACTGGAAAACACACTGAGGGTGAAAATGCACACAAAGCAAGTGTTCCTCCTTCATTTTACTTGAAGAGGCAGGATCTAAAAATAGAGAATTTTCTTGCATCCTTCAGACAGTGTGCATGTCGATGGGATTATCACATTTTGATGCAGATTCCAGGAGTGGGAGGAGAGTGTCTGTGTGCTCTCATTTCTCTGTGTATGTTGTGATGTCTCTGTATCTACACAGGTGTGACCAGGATTTTATGTTGCTTTTATTTGGCAGGGTCACATGAAGTCACATGATGAAGTGGTCGAGATGGATCCTCAGAAATACTATAAACAAGAAGCATTTTGATATAAAACTATACAAATATACATATATTAGGATGTACGGTGACAGGCGATGTACTAGGGATGGGCAATGATTTGCAAATATTCATATAGTCATTACATTTAAAAAAATGTAATACTTCATGCGACTATGGTTGTGTCTTCACAAAGAGCCACTGTTTCCCCTTGCTTTTACCGGCACCTGGAAATAACGTGATAACCAGGTCAGTGTATCATTTTACTACAACGCCAAATACCAACAGCAGAAACGTGCAGAGACTACAGCCATCAAAAAGTTCTGTGTGGAACTTCTTTGAGAAAATAAACAAAAATGAGGTGCAGTTCAAACTCTCCCAGTTTAGGTTAGCATGTCATAAATCATCAACTGTGCACAGCCATGTGAAGGTGAGGCCTCCAGCAGAAAGTGGGGCTCAGGCTGCAGATCAACAGTCAGTGGCTTTGTCACCTGAACAAGGAAGTTTGATGATCGACATGCAGAGCAAACAACGGCCCTCACCACAAAGATGGTAGCAAAGGACACGCTACTAGCTAAGTCGAGGGGGAGGGTTTTCAAAGTTTGATGGCATTTGTTCAGCCGGAGTATACGGTACTGTCAAGAGAAATGGCACGATGGGATAAACTGTATGATGATAATGCATGTGAGCTGTGCAGTTGTTTGACAAGTGATGAAAAGGTGTCTCTGACCACGGACGCATGGACACGTCGACTAGTTCCCAGAAAATTTCAAATAGTATTTTAGTTTGAAATGCCCATCTATAATAATCCCATAATATAATGTATGAGAACGTTTTTAGTTCACTGTGTCTTCAAAGGTGTCCTGTTTGTATTTCTTCCACTGCTTGTGAAGAAAAAAGGTCAAAACAAACATGTAAACCATTTGGTTCGAATCACAAACTGCACAGTGAGAGAACAAAACCACAAGCATCAAGCTCTCACTATGTAACAGTTACACTTTGGATTCTCAGTCCTCAGGCGACAGCAACACACATTTAACATCAAGCCCGTCTCTGGTCATTTTCATTCATTCTAGATAATCTATGATCAAATGAAAAGATTCTCGTCATCACCAACAGTGACTACACACCCACACACAGTGTATCAGGCTGGACAACCAGACACAGCAAATGTTCCAAATGTCAAGAAAGTTTCTGACATATTAAACCCACCCAACTGAGCAGCTGTATTCCAAGCCTCGCTTTCCCGTAATGTTACAATCCAACAGCCTGTGTGATGTAACACTGTGAGTTGTATGTGTCATTATTTATCTCTGTGTTGCTGCTGTTATTGTCTACATGGATTGTAAATGTGTGCCGGCTGAAACATGGAAGTGTTCGATTAAAGTGTTCTGACGTGAGCGTGTTGAAACAAATAGAAGCATGAATTAAGATTAACAGTGACAATGATTGTTGTGTGTGTGTGTGTAAACGTACTCGCTCTTGATGAAAGCGTACTTGTTGATGGTCTCGATGACATCCTTGAAGAGGATCTTGGAGGTCAGGGTGTAGCCATGGTGGACAATGGGTTCACCGTCCTGTCCGTCCCAGCAGTCCACTGTGGACAGGAGAGAAGAAGAAGGGGAAACAGTTATTTAATCGAATGGATTCTGTAGACAGTAAGTAGCAATGCTGCGTTTTAACCTGGTTCCAGTGCAAAGCAATCAGTGACCACATGCTGTGCTATTACATCCGCTTTATTTACTGTCTCTGTCTGAAACTGTCTCACATCTGTCTTTATGCCACAGAAATGGGTAATTTTCATCACAACAGCTTTAAAAATTTGTGGCAACAACAAAAGCAAACCAAGTTTGTAGACAGCTGTGGTTAGCCTTCAATAAAACTAATGCTAAGTTAGTACCTTTTAGGTCAACACTGTCGTTCAAAAACTATTGAAAACACACCAGTGAGCCACACCGCTGCACTCATTACTGTGGATGCACACACATAGCAAATCTTAAAGCCAGCAACAAACAAATCATGAAAAATAAATAATTTATTCTTATATTAAATACCGTCCACTGTCACTTTCCACTGAGTATACCATTAAGTCCAAGTGTGCAGCTTTAACTGTAGCTTTAGGACACTTGCATGGATCTCAGTGCATGTTGACTTCTGCTGGCCTCTATAATCAGGCAGATAGCAGCGAAGTGGATGGTGACCTTTTTACTCCACATAATGCCAGACATCTCCCTCCACATCTGCCTCCCATATTCACTCTCCCCAACAAGCATTTCTGTCCTCCTACAGGATTTTTTTTTAAAACTCTGGGTCACTCTCATTCCACAGCATCTCTGCTACTGTATGTGGATTTTACTTGTAGGAAGCCTTTAGCTGTTACTCTGGGTTCTTTTTTATTGAGCAGACTGTGTTGGACTCACCTTAGCTGGGCCCCCACTTCTTGGAAGAGTAGCCGCACTAGTAAATCATCTCCATTTATAGAAAGTTTGTGGACTGATGAATATCTAAACTGAGATTTATGCAAATCACAAAATTCTTGACCATACTGTTGGTCTTCGGAGATCTCTGTTGTACACAGTTCACATCAGACAAGTCAAGTCAAATTTTATTTACTGTGTATAACCCAGTAACACAAATTTGCCTCAGGGGACTTTACAGTCTGTGCAGCTTACGCTGGCCTCTGTCCTACTGACCCCTGACTCTAATTAGCTCACATCGATGCTGAAGATCCACAGACCTTTTCCAGCCTACACTGTGAATGTTTGGATGATGTTTTCAGTGTAGACATACACAGTGTCGTGTGTATGACTAGTTAAAATAGACTGTGCTGTTCATTCCCATTAATGGAAGTTATTTGAGCACCTCCCACGTAACTCGGTGTACAGGAGCTACTGGTGGCTTGGCAAAAAGAATGTGCAACAATGTGAAGGAAAAGAGTTTGAAATATAGATGCCTCACCACTTCCTGCCACCATGCAAAATTTAAGCAGAAATATTGGCAATGTGGCGGTGGCCATCTTGTTTGTGATGCAGTTTGCAGCCAGATTGTGCACGGTAGTACCCAATGCAGAGCTGCAGTATTAGGCCACCAATCAAAGCTGCCAGTCACCCAAAATGCAGCCCTTTAATTTTCACTGGTTCAGTAATTATTTATTAATTAGATTTTTTTAATTTTATTTTAGCTTTAGTGAACTGACAATACTAAAGTCCCTGTTGTAATAGTTTTCATTTGAGGCAATCCCAGATTGTTGTATTAAATCTCCCAGCTCTGCTGATTTGTGTTCTTTGTCTGAACTTCTTCCACTTGTCATGTCTTATTGTAGCAGCCACAGACTTAATACTTCACCTCTTTTCTTATGCTCTGCCTCTTGTACAACTGGGAATAAAAACACTACTTTGAAAATCAGTGCTGTGCGATTGTAGTCATTTATGTAAAATCAGTGGAAACAATGCAGAAGTATACCATAAACAAAGGCTGATGTTGTGAGTAAAACACACACATTTTTTAGCCATATACTTAAATATCAGTCAATATTTTATTTTTTTATTTTTATTAGTATTTTCTTCACTTTCAGGATGTTTTGAATCTTTCCGGGTAACATATCTGTGTGATAATGAATTATCAATGTCAACTAGTAAAATCACTCCGTTTTACACTAAACTGTGTATTTGCTGATTAAACATTACAAGCAGTACCGATAAATAATAATAATGACATAATTAATAATTATATTTATTACCGTAATTGTATAATTACAGTATGATTTTTCTATTTTGCACAGAAAAAGTATGAGCACCACAGGACCCGTGCAGCAAGTGATTCAAAAGAAAACAACTTTTAGAATGTCACACAAATAAAGGATGAACATTCTATTTATGCTCAGAACTCTTGGTCAGTTGGCAGTTGGCAGTTGGTTTAACAGTTTGCACCAGGTCAGTCTCAGAAACCTACAGAAGAACAACACCGAGCAAAATAACCAATAACCGATAAGTGTTATCGAATTGAATCATCAGTGATCACTGCAGGTAAGTACTGAAACACACCTACTAGTCCACAGTACATGGAAAATATTTAGAATTTGAGTTTTGACTAGTCATAATTTTAACTTTAAAATTCAGACTTCTCGTGCAAAGTTGAACTGCCATAAGCAAAACACTGTGTTTCCTGTGGCAGCATTACACAAACACGGTTCCTTCTCATGCTGACTCTTGTATTTGATGCTATTAGCCCAGAAATCTCCAAAAGATGGATCTCTTGGCCAACTTCGACCATGTTATAGGTGCGATGGAGTGGGAGGAGGTGGTACAAATTCTCCATGAGATTATAGCTGCAAATCTGGCAGACACACACCCTTCATCTCACCTGGCTCCTCCTGTCCCCACTGCTAAGCCACTGACCACCCCTAAGTCAAAGTAAGTGGCTGGCTTTGGTCAAAAATATAATTTTACATAAGTTTGTTTCATAGTCTTTCCTTAAAGTTTGACCCAGTGGTAATGTGTGCTTTAATCTGTTCTGTCTGTATTCCCATAGCAAGAGAAGGCGTGGGGACCAACAGGAGGACGGTCAACCTTATGTCAAGAAGCCGCCAAACGCTTTTATGCTGTTCAAAAAAGAACAAGCACCAAATGTTGCTGCTGAGCTGAGCAACAGTAATAGTGCACAAGTAAATGTCATTCTGGGAAAGAGGGTAAGTGTGTGTGGTCTTTGTGTCTCAGACACTCAGTGTCACACAAACTTCATCACAATGACAAAAATATTTCTTGGATCAGACATTTTCCTTCTTTTGTTGAAAACAATTTATTACAACAGAAAGCAAATCAAAATTAAAATCAAGGATTTCTAGCATTTCTGCAGAGCACAGATACACTGTGCATTGCATAGCCTGCCCACACTGATGTGGATCTGCACGTATCTGTTAACATGTTATATATGCTCCCGTTTGAGCCTGTAGTTGTGTGTAGTTGTGTGTAGTAGTATGTCGCTGTGTGCGCTGACAGTGTGTTATTGTGTGTCCACAGTGGAAGGCACTGTCCAAAGAGGAACAGTCCAAGTATTATGAGGAAGCTCACATGAAGAATCTGCTCCACATAATGGAACACCCCGACTGGTCCTCCAGGGACAATTACGTATGTACACTCTGGCTCACACACCGTTCATATGTTTATTACCTTCATTGGGTGATAAAACATGCTCAGTGAAAAAATCTTGATTATATCAGCTGAGATCAGGTGGAAAGTCTAACGTGTTTGTTTTGTATTTTGTGTAGGGCAAAAAGAGAAAGAGAGTGAGGAGGAGGAGGGCTCCCAAGCCTCAAGGTAAGAGAATAGTTCTGTGGGTCCCAGCTTGTTTTCATGTGAAGTGCCATGACAATGTACATGTGGCTGTGGAGCATATCTGACTTTTAACATGAATGTAATGGCCATATTTTTAGTATGAAACATTGTGACTTACCTACCTACTAAGCCAGGTGCTTCATTTGACTCCTGAGACATTTGACCAATGTTTTATAAGTTGAAACTTAAAAAACATTTAGTGTAATTGTTATTGATAAACTGATTTTAATGAGGAATGTTCAACACACATTTACAAAGTCTTGAATGAACTGTCACTGTTTCACTTGCTTTTCAAATACATTTTCACATGGTCTTCTGGTTTAATCTGAATCTGTTTTGGCTTTATAAGTGCACAAAGTTTCCAGTTCATTTTCACTTACTTATATTAAGAGATTTTTCTTCCTCAGGAGCTGGGGTCTCCAGCAGATGTGAAGAGCAGCCCACTAGCATTAATCTCACTACAGCTGGGATAGACCCCCACATTCACCAACAACACGTTTGGCTTGATTCATGAGCACTCAGACTGGAGTGTATTTCAACAGCCAAAACGTTTCTGTATTAAACTTGATATAAGATGAACCAAAAGCCAGACTCTGGGTTTTTTTAAACAAAGAAAATACATTCTGAAGTTGGTCACAATAAGCTGCTGCTTTCATTTACTGAGGACAGATTTTCTGACTGATTGCTTTAATAAAATGAGTAGCCCCACTGTAACTTTCACAGCAGGGTGGTATTCATAGCAGTTCATTTATACAGACCACCCTTGATCAAAATGGTTGACTTTCCTCCAACACAGGTCATTTTGTTGAACTCCAGCAATCTTGGAGCAGACCTCCACAATATTACATAAGCAGTTTGTGCCTTTGTACAAACACATAAATAAAAAGGTTAAGACTCAGGTGATAAAATGACCTTGCAGACCCCAATAGCATCCTCAGCATGCACAGTGCTGACTGTCGGTTTGACACCACCCTTCCTAAAACCTACAAGTTCCTTTGTTTCAGGCACATTTAAGTCATCTGACCATTTAACAAATTCAGCAAGACTGGTGGCCCCAAAGAAGAGACAAGAAGATGGTGTCATCAGAGAACATGACAAGAAAACTAGCTTCCTGAGAAGTCCTGCCGCTGTCTGTATAAATTTAAAATGAGCAGTAAAATCTGATCAGGTAACTACCCAGAAATAACTCACCCCGGCACAAGGAGAAGATACAAACTCCACATGGAAAGACCCCGGTTGTCATCAGGGTTTGTCCGTCTTGCTGTGAGGTGACAGTGTTCACCACTGAATTACCGTCCTGCCTTTTCTCTGCAGTTTCTTTATAGTTTATAAATGACTTTTTTTGTAATCACATAGCCCCTGGAGTGGATGACTTATGCTCCCATGCATGGTGATTTGTTTTAAAATAGCTTGACGTAGCTCAGTTAATAGACTGGGATCCCCAGTGCAGTTCCCCTCAAAGGCCGTGACTTGCTGTATACCTTTCAAAAGGGACTGTTTAATACGGGTGGTCTTGTGTTAACCTTTTCTTGTACATACACACTCCCAAAAACCATATCACAGTTGACCCTGACTCCCTTATGTGCAGTCAAAATGTGGTCACAGCTCTCATGTCGGTCTGTTTTGTAATCTGATACCAGTTCCCACCATATGCTTCTTTGTGTCATTTTGGTTCCTTCCCCCCATTTTTTTTTCATAGAAACCTCTCTGGCATTAAAAAAACCTCCGTTAATGTATCAAATAATAAAAAAGATTCACTAAGGCATTTGAAAAAAATCTGATTTGTTAAAGCCTCATCTCTAAAGCAGAGGTTAAGTGGCTTATTTGCCAAATCACTGTGAATCCGTTGCTTCTCACAATGCGATAGAGCATCAGTCCAAAAGTATCTGCACTGCTACTTGCTTTTAAACCATCACAGGATTTTTGAACACTGTGTTAAACTGTTCCTGTATGCTGTAAGTCTACGCACAGTGTGTATCTATGTTATGTGTGCTCCATGTCGATGCTGACCTTCTACACAACGACAGCCGGCCTGCAGCACCCAGGCATACATGTCCACCCTGGACTGTGACATCAGCTGGTCACCCATCAGGTAGGTGTTATGTGAGGAGGCGATGAAGTAGTTGCACAGCGGCTGGTTCATGTCCTGGTTCACGTTGTAGTGCTCTGGGTTGAAGATGTCGCCCGCTGGGCTGCGCATATAATTCGTAAAACCTGGGAGAAAATTAAACAATAGCTTTTTTTACTGCAGGGCTTATCCTACTTTAAAAAATGTTTATTCTTCAATCTATTCTAAAGTGTAGCTTGACAAGCAGCCTGGTGTGAGCCAGATCAAATGTGTTTTAAAGATGACCCTAATGTATAGAAAAAATGTGCAACATCAACTAATAATGTAACAGTTTATACAGCGATTCAATTTTCATTCTTCCAGCAAAGTCCGAAACGTCAGGGAGTAGTAACACTTCATTTCTACATTTTGTCTTGATCTTGAGTTCAAAAGTAAACTTTAAGAATAATGAAATTTATTATGTTATCAAGGTCTTTATTTGTCATATGCACAGTTAGGAAACGTGTTTCCCTGTACAATGAAATTCTTACTTTGCCGTCCACATGAATGCCACAAAATACAAATGAAATATAAAGTAGATGAGCAATAACTTTATATTTCACTTGTATAAAACAAGTTACTAAAATAATTGTTTTCAAAGCAACTGGTCTTAAATTAGTGTAATGTAACTGATGTAAACAAACACAGCAGCAGTGTTCAGCCACACCTGATTAACTAGATCAGGTATGTCCAGCCAATCATCAGTAGGCAGAGTGTTTGTTTATTTAATAATAATTTCTTTATTAGCGGTGCAATACTACAACACACTATTATGAACATGCTACATATAAATAAATAGAAATATTAAGAAAAATACTCTATTTAGAGGTCATTTTGAAAAATGCTTGGTATGACAGAAACTGTGTATTTCAGATCTTGGTGCTTTTTGCTTCTAAATAGTTGCCAGTTAATTTTCTGTCAGTGAACCGACTGATGGCTGCAGCTCTAGGTCACTGAATGGCTTCATGAGGATGACACGTGTGTTGGACGCAGCGAGGGGATCTGGTTTGGAAGAATGATGTGTCCTCTCTGCAACAGGACAGACCTGACACGGCACTAACAAGGCTCTGTTGGTCATTGTATGATAGTTTGTCCTTTCAGTTGTCACCCAGCGGTCGATGTGCATACAGTTTATATTACAGCCTGTGCTGTTTTCAAAGACACCGACATCTCACTTCTTAAATACAGGAAATTGAAAAAGTTGTGGACACTCAGCATTTGTACTCCATCAGTGAATACACTCCTACTGAGAGTCCCTCTAGAAAAAAAAGCACCTGCCAAATGAATGAAATGTAAAGAAATATTCAAGCGATAATAAAAAGCTGATTCAACAAAGCAGAATGAATCAGACTCGGTAAAACCTATTGATGACTAAACTGCACTGCACCTGATGGGCTGCAAAACTCTGACCTTGCAGAAAAGCATTTTCAAAACAACTTACACTGCAATTCAGAGCTGAAAAAAAATAATTTCAATAGCAGTGATAATGAAAAATATTTTATATTTAACCCGAGTTGTTATTTGCAAATTAAAAAGCAAGGCTAAATTTTGTTCCAAGTGCAAAAGAGCACGGCAAGAAACTGAAATCAAACTTGACTTACCATCAATTCCTAAAACCCCTTGTTTCTGGTTCTCAGAGCACGGCTCAAATTTGTTAATAATCTCCAGGCAATGTTCCTTGGTCGCCTTGGTCATCTACAAAGTACAGAAATGCATGTCAAACACCATGGATATGCTAGAAATACAATGATAATACCATGTACTATTCTTGTATAGAAATCCCCCTTGGAAAAACAAATCAACACAAAGGAGAAGAAGAAAAGGATAACGTGGTTAAGAAAACTCTCTACATGTCAGTTTTCTGTCCATCCTGCCTGGTAAGTCCGACTGGCAACTGGCGTGTGGTAGCTGCTCTTTAAAGGCATCTGATTGGTCAATCAGAGACCCACTGCTGTTAATCATGTAAAGAGGGTTGGGCAGTAGCAGGTCACCCCCCTCAGCCTGGAGTCAGTGTGTTTGTGACAGCTTCAACCTCAGCCATGCTTAAGCAAAGTAGTCTGGTGAGGAAATGCTTCCAGTGGGTTCTTTCCATTTGGAAAAATGTTTTTCTTTCCCACTCTAACTTACTAAACAGGGTGAGTGTGAGATGAGACAATGCTGCATGGAGAGTAAATCCAGTCACACTCAGCAGAGGTTAGCTGTGGACTGGCTCCAGAAAGCTTGTTGAGCAGCAGTGAGCTCTGAGACGTACACTGCCTTAGACGCTGGCTGGATTTGAACTAATATGAGAGAGTGAAGCATAAATATTACTAACTAATTACATTATATCAAAGAATTTCTCTCATTTGTTACATTTTAGTTGCAGATGAGATTAAAACTGAGCATAAATGCTAAAGCATTGAAAGATGATGTTGACAAAGACAAAACAATGTCAGTACATACCAGTACTGCATGTTTTTTATGACGCTATTGTGACCCTCAGCTGCAGAGACGATGCTGTGGTTCATAAAGACTCCCATTAGAGACCCGGTTTCTTTTGTGCTTCAGTTCTACTACCTTGGTTTGGCATGTTAGCATCCTAACATTTACAGCTGAGAATGTTGGGAATGTCAGTAGTCTTCAAAGTATTTGCTGATAAACTAGTGAAATAAAAATCTGCCAGACGGTGGAGCTGAATGAGTGGACGTTTTCACTTCAGCACAAACTATGGATGTGAACCTTGGTGGCAGTAGAGGAAAGGTCGTACACAAATTGGGGTATTACACATGATCCGGTTTCTTATATGAGGCACAGAGAAACAGACACCAACAAAGTCTGTGGTTAACAATACCAGCAGAGATAACTGCTGCCTTTTGGCATCATTTCACACAAACCGCTTCACACACTGGCTTCCACCACTCTCCACTAACAGGAGGAAAGACATCTTATTCACAGCTCCAGAACTAAACGCTGAGAGTATTTAGAAATAATTCAGCCCCTGTGAGTGGAGCTGACGTCTAGCTATCCAAACAGAGCCTTCTGCTTGTAAAATGACTGTTTCCACACAGTCAAATAGCCTGTCAGAGTACAAATTAGCAGAAGCACACACTGCTTGTTTAAAGAAAAATGAACTGTTATGCTCATTAGCAATTTTTTTTTTCAGGAGATGGTATCATTAGTGAGGAGATGTAATTCATCCAAAAACCCTTTACAGCTACATCTCAAGTGCTATGAAGTTACTAATGCTAATCTACTGTAGGGCCCTCACTGTCTACAGTAAGCATCACTTCAGGTAGGTTTTTGACCCCCCACCTCACAGAAGCTAAACTGAAGGATCCTTCTGGGTATTTAATCAACAAAAGAGAAAAAGCAGGAAAAAGAAATGTTTCAGTAGCAGCCCACAAGGGACTTTAATTTTCACTGGTTCAGTATTCAGAAAGCTCCTTATTTTAGGGCCTTAAACAGGCAACGGCAACTGAATGGGCTCTACTAAACTGGTTGATTAGGATAATAGCAACAGGAATATTCATGCTCGAGAGGATCAAGGCTGTTTTGTCCTCAACAGAATAACATTAAAGCGTTCATCCCCCCCAGCACTTCTATGCAGTTGTCACTTAAACACTTTGCTTGTGTATGGATTCAACAAATGAGACGCAATGAGCTGTTGGCAAGTGTATGTGCTAACTTTGGAAACAGCCAGGCTAGCTCTTTCCCCCTGTTCCCAGTTATTGCTAACTAATGTGTGTCAGACAAGAGACTGACATGCATCTGAACATTTTACTCTCATAAAGGAAGCACAAAATGTGGCATTCTTCAGTGATGAGCTATTCTTTCTGTGAAGATTTATATACATCTTTTGACGTAATGTAACACCTACAGATCAACATCACCTTGTAGGCATAGAAAATAACCAATGTTTCTACATCCAGTGTCATATTTCAGTAGAAACCAGTCACCACCACAATGTCAAGAGAATGGATGGCAAGAGAGAAGACTGGGAAATGTTACAAAATGTGCATGGTATCACAACAGTAAGTACTACACTGTGCATCACAAACAGCATTAATTTTTTGTGCTGGGAAATTAACAGCCCACTGAAGATAGTGGAATAGTGAGTTGTGCCAACACCAGTCTGGTAATAAATGCGGGCTGAACCTGTGTAATTTTCAGCCGATTTGACACCTAACCAGCTGCTCATTATTCGACCGCCCCTGCCAGAAACGCATTCCCCTGCTCTACTTACTGGCTGTGCTTTGGAACAGTTCCAGAGCAGCAGAGATTGATTTTTGGTGCCCCACTAGGTCAGCGATCCAGATCTGGCTTAACAATCAAGCATGTAGTATGCAAATAATGCAGGGTAGGGTAGCGGGTGGTGTTACAGTCCACAGCTTTATTCAGTAGATTCACTTTTCATCTTGGCATCTGTGTTTCCTTTACATTTGACCTTTTTCAGTAAGAATTAACAATCGAAATTTGTTGAACATGACAAGAAATCAGCACAGTTGATAGACATCTCCTGCTAGTCAGAGTTTTAAACACAGCTCATAAAATGCAGTGTGTACCTTTTGCTCAGTCTCCAGGAAGCGCGCCAGGTCATCTGTGTCCAGGTGGTCTTTGTGGTTGCTGTAGGTGAGCATGAGAAGGTACAGGTCCCTGCGGGTGGACATCATCTTGTAGAAGGAGCAGAACTCCTCAAAGTCCAGCGTCCCCTGGTTATCATCTGTGTCTGCCTCCTGCACATCCGGGACAAGTAACGCTTTAGTTAGTCTTTCATGGTGCATTGTTTGTGCCTTTGTTTTACTAGACTCGCACTTAGCCCCCCTACCATCAGTAGGTGGAGTACAGTGGAAATTATATAACCTCCAATTTTCCTCCAGGCAAATGTTCAGTGTCATCCTAGTCTGTAATGTCGTTATGTTTAATGTGGTGTTCTCAGCTGCTTTTAATCCAGAAACCAAAACGTGGACTTCAGTCATTTAATGTCAACTTCAGACTTCTTCTGTTTTTTATTTATTTGATGAATGATGAAAATTTCAGACATTGTGGTCTCAACTTGGTCAAAGAAAATCATAAATAAATGACAGTACTTTTAGATGGTGCTGGCTGCATCTGAGCTCGGACATGGTTGGTGCTACACCGCAAGCGGGTTACTGGGTTGACCTTCTTTCAACTCCTATTTCACTACATAAAAATTGAATCACAGTTTTTGTTTCATAAAATCTGTTCTGTCTCACCAAAATCTTTTTGTGAGACTTTTTTAGGTCATTATTGTCTTCATGTGCCTACTCACCTACTGTTTTCAGCTGATATTGCATTGATAGCTTTGTTTTTCCACACGTAACATTCGAGAAAGAACTGAGTCAGCTTGTAAGAGGCGACAGCTATGGCTGTGTTCGAGAACAAGGTTAACATGAGCACTGCAGTGGCATGACCCCTGTAATCCTTGTCTCAGCTTTCTGAGGCGGTCTGTGGCTGGCTCCATATGCCAAGAAGCACTGGAGGCAGCCACTCACTGTAGCGTGATGACGTCTGTGCTAGTTGAAGCTTGGCCTCTGAGCAGCTCCATCTACTACATGCACTGGGCTTAGAACAGGGTGCCAGGGACTCGTACATAGATGTAAAATGTTTCTCCTTTCACAGCAAGTGAAAATGATTCTACAGGCTTTTTATTATTTCACCGTAGCCCTAAAAAATAGGTTCAGGCATGCTGTGGGAATATTTTAATAAAGAATTTCAAATAAAAATGTCTGGATCACAATTTAATTATGTCCCATCATGCTTCTGGGAGGGGGAGACGTATCTCAGAGTTCCTCTACAAATGAAGTGTGGCACTGGGTCCCCTGCTTGAGCAGTTGCCCACATGCCCACAGCTAAAGAATTTGATTATAATAGTTGAAATGGAGAGTCTGCACAGTAAACTGAAAATCCAACTGGTTTCCACATTGGGGGAAACTTGATACTGAATCAGTGACAGAATAATAGGAATGAAAGTGGAAACTATTTTGATCCAGACATGGATAAATAAAGTAAGCTGAATGTGGATTGTGACATCTGATTGATGCCTGACACACTCAATAAGGTGATCATCGCCACCGACACCACTGCAGTGGACTGGAGGACTACATCTGTGGAACAGAATCTACAAGCGTTACCGTTTTACGTTGACCTTTTAAGGGGCTTTCTGCTCTGCTTGCTGTACGTTTGTCCACAGTGGAAACCTCAGCTATCACAACTCCTGTAAAAATGAGGTTTGGTCCCATCCAATAACCATCAGTATTGGTGGTGAAACGTCTCGCTCGGTCTGCCGAACACTAACTAAAGACATTTCTCACCGGCATGTTCTCCTCCTGACACAGCTGACACACATGAGGCCAAAAGACTCAGAGACACCAGGCTTGGCTGTTGGTTTTACATTCATGTCACTTAGCTGTCACTTAATTTGTGACTGAGTGGCACTTGAGTGACAAGCACAGATGCATACGCACGGTATTACTCATATGGCCAGAGTTATTAGACAGGAACTCTGAGCAGACAGCACAGTGTTGTGGCAAGGCTGCAGTGATAGAGATGAACTGTATATCTCCAGGAATCAGTGATGACCAAAACTGATAAGGTGAGAACTGATGAAAATGCCACCAGTTAACCTGCATCTTCACTCATTTTCTGATGTGACGGATTCTTTCAGATGCAGGACACATCTTAGTCCCAGTAGGATAACACAGCTGAGCTTTTATTGGACAGGAGGAAACATCAGTCTAGCCTTATTCCTTCCCATTCATTATGCATGAACCCAGGCACTTAAGCTGTTAGCATGCTTATGTGTTTTAGCTCGACAGCTAATATAGATTAATTTGTCAGAATCGCAAAGCTGTCCCTCGACACACACATCTGCAGGTCTTTACTGTGATAAACCACTGAACAGAGGCTCTGCAGCGAAGCCTGCTTCATTGCCCTTATTTGCAACTGTGGTAATACCTCCATCCGTCGCAGTTTCCTGTGATTCATGGTTTGGTGTGCACTAAAACCAGGAAAGTGCCTCACGTCACTCCAGTTCTCAGGGCTTTACACTGGCTTCTGGCTTTTCACAGATCTGATTTTAAAATACTACTGTCCTTTTATAAAGTACTCAGTTAGTTCTGACCTGCTGCTCTGTTATGGACCGACAGGTCTGCTTAGAGCAGAGCCGCTGTTAAATATGGTAGTATTTATTCACATCATGGACTGCACTGTAGCTCACTGTACCTTTTATTCTATTGTTTCATCTGTCTTACTCTTACTTTCTTTTAATCCTTCATCCACTTTGAGTGTGATATTGTCTCATGGTTATTTCTGGGTATAGGTCTAAGCTGGTTGCGTCCTCGAGCTTTCATTTCGTTTTTGGTGGAACTGAACTCATGACTGCTTGAGCTGATAGAACATTGTAAACAAAAACTAACACAGGAGAACTCGATTAATCTCTCATTTAATTTAGTTGGACTGTTAAATTATGACACATTGTCGCACAGTGCTGGATTGTTGTGAAGTGTTTTCTGCAGGTTGTCTTCCCTTCATTTCAATTACTGTAAAGTCCATCTGCTGTTAATGTACGAATATCTGTCAGTATTCATACTGTATCTCTCTCTGAATTATTTCAATATGCAAGGACACTCCTCCACCTTATTGTACAATATGCAGCAGTATTTGCAGTACTTGACTTGCACTGCTAATGTACAGGACATCACAACAAACTACCATGTGTAGTGTATTTTCAACACATACTAGAGTTACAAGGTTAGGATGCTGCTTTTGTTATTTGTTTGTATTCCCTCCATCCATCCTCCAGACAGAGGGAGCAGGAGGACGTGACAGCTTTGGTATCCGGAGATGATAAAAAAAAAAACACTGGATTTATTATTTGTATATTTTCATTCTATTTTTCTTTGTACCTACCTCACTTGTTTATGTGATTTGTGTGGCTTGGCTGCTGCGACACTGCAATTTCCCTTTGTGATTAATAAACTATCTTTCTTTCTATCACCTTTTGCCCAGTTGGCTCATTATTTTTCTTGTCTTACGTGGCAAACCTTCACCAAAACATGAGAGTGAGTGTGGCTACTCATTAACTGACTGCAGTTATTTGATTAATCTTATACAGTACACATAAACATCTTAAAACCAAACTATTAGAAACATTTCTCAGTAGGAGAATAAAAACATTTTACAGAATTAAGACAAGGTAGTAACTATCCTCATTAACATGCACACAGCATGGCAAACCTTCATGCACTCTAAATTTGATCTGATTATCTCCAGTGCTGGTACAGACTCATCTGTTAACATCTTAAAACCGGTAAGAAAGTCAAGTCCACGGCTGTTTCCTTTTCATTCTAAGTAGGTTAAGCCGAGAAACTAGTTAAGAGATTGTCAAGACACAGCTCCTTATTAATGTCCACACAAAATCACGCACACACAGACACGCATGCACACAGGCAGGGCCAGAAAGGTCTCTGGTGTGTTTAGCCTGCTTTATACCAGTGGCCATCTGTGTTCCAGCAGCACCATATGGGTGCCTGTCAACAGGCCGCTGGACTTAATGAGAACAAGCTGGCTAACTGCTCTGTAGGAGGAAGGCCAGAACGACATGCTTAACTAGGCAGCATGCTAATTCCCCTGCTGTGGCTGAGCTGTGTATTAGCTAACATCTGTAGCAATCATTCACAATCTGCAGGACGTTAAGTACATACTGCAACTGAAGTGACCTCAGAAGCCCATTTACTGTACCATCACACCATCAAACTCCTGTGTACATTGGGCGAATGAACCAATTCCGATTCTGATTCCTAGTCCTTGTCTTCTCCTTTGCTACCAGATCATTTGATGACCATCATTTCATGGCCTCATATGGCCGTGCATGCTGTTTCTGTACCTTGAACATCTGTTTGACCTTCTGTCGGGGCAGGTTGACATTGAGTTTGTGCAGGAGCTGCAGGACCTCGTTGATGCTCAAGCTGCCATCACCGTTCTTATCAGCTTCAGTGAAGGTTTGCTTCAGCCATGTGATCACATGTTGGGTTAAGGAAAGTCTGCATCAAGATTCAGGACTTTTACTTTTTCCACTGCTCCTGATTTTGGTAGTTTGTACTCAGGGCACTGCTATATTCTCATTAAAGCCCCCTCTAATATTGATAATGAAATCCTATATTAACTAATGCAGGCAATTAAACCTTAAAATCACCAGATCAATTCAATCTATATGCAAGGACCCTCCTATATATAACTGTATTAAGTGAAGGATATTGGTCACGGGTGCGCTGTCTCTTGGCCAGGCTGTCCTCGTCACTGATGCCTGCCATCAGATATTTGAGGCCTGTGATCCAGGTTCGCGCCTCCTCTCCAGTGCCGGACACCAGGTCCAGGGACTCCATGTGCTCTCCATAGTACAGGCTGAAGCAACAGTTGGGGTTGAAGCTGCCCTCTGAGTAGCGCTGGAAGATCTCAGACTGCTTCCCCTCACACACCTCCCGAATGGAGTCGATGGAAACTGTTGGAGCGAACAGGAAGTCAGTGATGTAACAAAGTACATTCATTCAGGTACTGCACTTGGCTACAACTTGGAGGTACTTTTACTTTATTGTGTTTCAAGCTGTTACTTTCTGACTTTTCTTCACTATATTTCAGAGGGAATACTGTAGTTTTTCCTGCACTACATTTACTTGACAGTTATATTTACTAGTTACTTAGCAGATTCAGATTTTAGGCAAAACATCTGATTAAGTTAGAACATATGCTATAGACTGTTATAGACCAAGTTGTCCAACAGCATAAGATACCGCAGTTATCATTACAAACACATAGACCAGCCACAATAGTGTTGCTTCATTAGTAATGATGTGCTAATATAATTCTCTGAGGGCAGTTCTGACACTTAGTGAGTACTTATATTTTTGATACTGTGGGTACGTTTTGCTGCTAAAATGTCTGTATTTTGTATTGCAAATACAAATTTGAATCTAGGACTTGTAGTTAAGCTAAGAGAAAGCCACGCTAAGAGGAAAATTAACTTCTTACAAAAGCAATAAAGCAGAAAGTTAATAAAAGTCAACTCATCTGTCTGCAGTATTCAAGTGGTTTTCAGAACTTTCACCTCTGGCCAAATAGTTAATTAACTGTTGGGAATAGTTTAATGGGGAATTTCTTGCTGATTTCAGGCTTTATGACACAGAGGATTACAATACTGAGCTCAATAAGCAGTGCCCAGAGGCCTCTGTTTATTAAGATACAACATTTAAGAGATGGTAATGATATTTTACTGGAAGACAGTACCCGAGTCATTCATTAGTTTTCCCCATGACAGCAAGCAAGTGATAAGTACTTGTGGTTTTTGTTCATCATGAGCTTTACTTTGAAAATTCCACAGACCAGATTCATTCTCCAGTAGCCAGCTAAATACAGAGGAGGTACCTAGAGCACATCTCGCTCTCTATACAGTGATGTACTACATGGATGAAGCATTGTTTTCAAATACACTCATTACACAGTGACACAATACCTGTACACTCAACCACTGTCACTTACAGTATGTCCATAGGCCACACACACACACACACAGTTGTACTTCTATCTTTGTGAGGACACTCACTGACATAATGCATTCCGTAGCCCGTTACCCTAACCTTAACCATCACAACCAAATGCCTAACCTTAACCCTTACCTTAAGCCTAACCTAAACCTAATTCTAACCTGAAGCCTAAAACCAAGTCTTAACCATCAAAAAGCTGTTTCAGTAAAATGAGGACTAAAAATTCCCTCAATCTGTAGCAAAAAATACTTTCGTGGCCGTCACTTTGTAGCAAGTACAATACTTTCATTTACAGTATTTGTAATACTAGATGTCACAGATCTCGTGAACAGGACAGACGACATGCTGCGGCTGTGTTGTTCGTGTTCCCATGAGGCTGTCAGGGTTCTCCACAAACCCTGCAGCTGGAGATGTTATAGGACCACATGTGCTTTTCCTGACTGTAGCACTTTCATACATTATGCAGAGTACACACCAGGCATCTGGTAGATAAGAGTAAACATCACTACTACTACTCACTGTTTGGAATATGTGATGAGCTGCTGGCAGCTGAGATGGAGGCTGAGGGTATCAGGTGGTGAGCCCTCAGAGAAGGATTCCCTGTTGTGGCCTCTGCTTTAGTACACCCATCAGGTGGAAATTTCTACTTGAAACATCACATTACAATCTAGTAAACTACTCTGACATGACCAGCACACTCATGGTGCCTTCAGGACAAACAATTTTACACCGAAGTTATCCTCAGCTGTCAGCTTTACACACAGGGTGGTGACCATGGTGCCAGATTTCCTCTGCTGTGGATGTTGAAGTTTCCAAAGTACAAATAAGAACAATAACTTTACTTTAGAGGATCTAAAGTAAAGTTACCCCCTCACAGGTCCTTTAGAGCAGTGGCCCCCAACCTTTTTTGTACCAGGGACCAGTTTCATGCATGAAAATTTTTCCACGGACCAGGTAGGCACAGGGGTTGCAATAACCCAAACTTTTGTCAGTTCATAGTATGTAATCTGAATGCAACAATTACACTTTATATTAGGCAATTACAATAATTCTACACCATGATGCAGAGTCAGTGGGAGCCCTGGGCTTGTTTTCCTGCAACTAGATGGTCCCGTCTGGGGGTGATGGGAGACAATGACACTCGAATTGTGTTCCGTAACTAAGAATGATGCTTTCAGCGCAGACACATTTGTTGAAGTGGTGGCCCTCAATAATTGTTTTTGTCCTTCATGTTCATGTTTTTTTCTTTCAAAAAATTCCAAGGGCTTGTTTTTTAACGCAGGGTGCTGTGTCTCAATGGGGCAGAGCATTTTTGAGGGTTTCATGGCTTCATTAGCTAGTCAGTCTCTGCAAATTATGCATAGCGGGTGTGGAGCTTGTGTATCACCTGTTGCAATTAACCTGAACCTTTGGTAGGAATCGTAGTATTTTCTTTTAAATGCAGCTTTCTTTTTGCTGGCAGTCTGTGACCCTTCTGTTGTCCCATCGTTTGCTCGTTCTTTCTGAAAAAGCTCTCCAGTGAATTTTGTTTTTGGCTCATTTTTTATCAGCTTGTGTCGCTGATGTGTGAAATGGCACGCCAGTCAAGTGCGGTAGTGAGGGGATAATCAGCATGCCAGCATGCTCACTGTGACAAAATTAATAATGTTTAATGGGCATAATGTTTATTATGTTCATCATCTTAGCTTAGCACATTAGCATGCTAGCATTTGATAACTGCAGGCACAAAGCAAAGTGTTGGACAAGTTAAATTTTTAACTTGATGACAGCACCAAAGCTGACGTCAGAGGGTGGCCAAAGTGACTCCAGTACATCCTCAGTGGAACATGGTCTGAATCAAATTTTAGGTCAATAGTTGCTGTGGGTACATTCATACCACGCTCTGATTTTATGACCGCATGTGGTACCACTGGTAGAATGCTCAGTACAAACAGCACAGCTGCTGACTACTAATAGCCAAATCAGCAGCCTTTTGTCCTGCCTGACACTGCCACTCTGGAGTTTTGACATAAACTCTGCAGCTCATAGAACACCTGTTATTACCACAGCTGCAATCTGTGTTGCATGTACTGCTGCTGAAGCATCGTCTCCACAGTGTGTCTACTCTACCTTTTATCTTCTTTGAGTCCTTGTTGTGCTGCCATGTTGGAAAAGCTTGTAGTAGTAAACTTTATGAACCTTCTCATGGACCAGCTGCTCCTGCTGGCACAGGTTTAATAGTGAATGCCTAGTTTACTAGCAAACACTTTATTTGAAATGCTGAGTTGGTAAACTGTTTCATTTCTCAGTAAAATGTATTGGACTTTTTTACAAACTGTCGGAATCTTTTACAGATGTTTTGGTTTTGGTTGCTGGGTGGTTTTGTTGGTCAAAATGTACATTTCTGTTTGTGTCGTTGGTTATTTCTGGGATGTGACTGCTTGCAGGAACGCAGAACATGTAGTCAGTGTATGTCATGCAGTTTCCTGCCTGTCAGTCTGTCCCAGTGGCTGCTCTGTGATTCGCCTCTAGAGGCCACACAGAGTGCCAGAGAAGAGAATAGGCCACCATGAAAATGCTACAGCAGCCAGTTTGTCATGTCCTGCTCCAGAGACTGAGACCTGTCAGAGTGTTAGATGAAGGATGCAGGAATAGACACAGTGCCCGTTGGCGCATGACTGGAAGTGAACAGGAGATGTGATCCTGTTGCTCCTGACCAGCGATCAGCAGGTAGACAAAGGCACGACCACGTGTTTGGATTTCTACAAATGAGGTGTAGTGTATTCAGCACGTGAGATGTGTGTGGAGGATGGATTAAGGGAAGTAAGTCTTGCTGTGTAAGGACGGCCGCCACTATAATGTGTGAAAGGAGCTTCACACAAAAATGGATGGTGTTTCTCACAAGTAATCTGTTTTACTCTTCCAACCATAGAAGGTTTAAGATCCAAGATAAATTCCATTTAGTTTCAGTCTTTAAATTAAGGTTGGCCCCACCTCCACAAACAAAGATCTACTTGCTCTGATCTGTGTGTGTGTGTGTGTGTGTCTCTGTGTATATGAATTTCATTTAGTGGCACGTGTGTGTAAGATGCTGTTTGGGCAGATTAAAGCTGATGAATAATTAAGTCGGCTTAAGAAGCTTAGTAAAACCAGGGCTACAGAGGAGGGAGAGTGACAGGAAACTGAGCAGCTTAGCCCCCAGGAGACGGCCAGCCATCCTGGGAGCTGCTGTTAAGAAGTCCCTTATAGCCTTCTTTTATTCTAAGAATACGCAGAAAGTTGTTTTGTTTGCTTGTTGCAGAGAAAACAAATGTCCAGTTCAAAATGGCAAAAACACTTCAGATCCCGGGGGAACATACAGGAACAAGAATCGATCTAGCTAACCCTAAAGTCTGTTAAATATTAACATTTAAACACAGCAGCTGGGAGAAAAAAATGGTGGCAAAAAGAAAACCTCCTGTGCAAATGCACTCTATAAACATTGTCAATTAACAGTACAGGATACTGTTTGTTTTCAGTAAAATATCTTAAATTTAGACTATGTATACACTGCTCAACAGCCCCCACTGTGGCCACAAGACATGATTACAGGATAACAGCAAACTAAATTTTCCTTAATGTCCCAAATTTCTGTGGGGACAGTTAAGTCAAAGAAATTCATATCATGAACCTGAGTGAAAGGGAAAAGCATTATATCCCAAGACCCAGGAGTAGGCAGAGGTAACTGGTAAGGGTTAAGGTGAAGGTCAGGTTAAGATAAGGGGGAAACAGACTTCACTTGCCTCAGAATCTGCTCCGGAGCTTTTGGATCTAATCCAACCAAGTCGAATGAGACCACAACCACAAAAGAACCAGTGTTTACATGTGACATGTCACTTTGACTCCATGAAAATTTGGTTTGTGCCTCTCATTTAAAAGCTGCCATTACCAAACATGCATGTATTGCATAGTTCATCAGTACAGACACAACATATCTTCTAACAGTGAGAACAAGCTAACATCCCCAAATTAATGATTACACAATAATGTAGAGTAAAGCTATTTTAGCCATGTAGTGTTCTACAACTCTCAGACAATGTATTGTAGTGATGTTTTGGGCTGTACTGTAGCATATTGTATTACAAACTGATAAATGTGATGTTTTTCTTTTTTCTGTTTTAACATAATGCACTAATTTGCATTATCATCACTGAGGCGTGCAGCAGAATGGGCAGTATACCAGTTATACTACTCCTGTCATTTAATGTGGATGTAAACATTTTAATTAACGCTGAGCGCACGCATACATTTAATTGATTTTTGATGAATTTAATAGACTTAGCAACTGTTGGTTTGAAAAATTTCTTTATAAACTATGCGAAATTTTTAACTGGTTGTGTCGGGGTATGAGGAGCAGTAATACTTATTTGCTGGGGTCCTTCAATGAAACACACTAATCTGGTTGGCAGTTACTGGCACATTGTATGTGTTTACAAAAACAGCTGCTGTCTTTCTGACAACGCTTCATTTGGTCGAGCATTTGGAAGGATGACATATGGAGATGAGGAGTGAAAACACGCCAAAATGCCTTGGGACATTCAGTGAACCTTTGCTTATACTGTACAGCACAAAAGGTTTTCCATAAGTTTGTATTCTGAGCACATTAAACCACAGGGCCAAGACAGATTTCCTTTGTAACTGTAAAAAGGAAGAAGACACTCACTCTTTGCCTTTTCATTCTTGCGTGAGGGCCTCCAGCGGATGCAGGACTTGTGTTCGTCCAGATAGAAGAACCGCACCAGTCCCTTGGAGCCACCGCGGAGCTTCACCATCTGGGTCCCCATCTGCATGGAGCTCATGCATTTCTCCACTGGAGGGAAGAGAAGATAAAGATTGGAAAGTAGTCAAAACTGCTGGAGTGTGCACTGCAACTGCAATGTCTATGCACAAGTGTGTGTGTGTGTGTGTGTGTGTGTGTGTGTGTGTGTGTGTGTGTGCCACCTTTCCAAAACAAATCCCATCTACACTCTTATGCAAAACACAGTCATTTACTTATACACTCACATGAAAAGACAGCATAAAGCATTGGATGTGCCTGTCACTGCCGACAGCACTCCTTGTCTCATGGGAGGAAGAGAAAGCGAGAGAAGACAAACGACAGCAATTTCTTCACAAAATGCCCTTTAACAAAATCTTGACTTCACACTGTAGACTGTGACAGAACAACAAGAGGAAAAACCAATAAAAGCAGGAGCTCTTTTTAGATGTCAAGATTTATACTATGACCTAAACAGAAGTAATTTCACACATTCTAGGAGTAAAACAAACACCCGGAGAAAAAGACTGACTTTAACAAGATGTGTCAAAATCCTGGATGGTGACACTGAAAATTCAGCTAAGCCTCGGTGCGACCTTGCCATTATTTTAGAGAGAAATCTGACAGTTCCTCCACAGGAAGCTAATGGTGTGGTGCCCCTTGGCTACAGTTAAACCTCATGTGGCCATACTATCAATTATAAACTATGAAACACATCCTGTCACATCGGATCAAACACCCCCAACACGCAGGGAATCAGGCCTCCTCAGCAGGCAGATGTTTCAGAATGGCTGGCAGGTCACTGACAGATATGACATTCAACATGCCTACGGTGTGAATCATGCTGCATTTAAGGCATTTTGGAAATATCAGGGGAAAAACAAATTTTTCCTTCAGCTCAGGCTCATTAGATTAGATTAGATTAAACTTTGTCATTACACATGTACAAGTACAAGGCAACAAAATACAGTTTAGCATTTAACCAGAAGTTCAATAACAGCAGTGCAGAGTGTGCAGAATCTACAGTATGTATAGTCTGAACTAATTTACCAATAGATATGTACAATTGATCTTTACAGTAAGATATGTAGGGTAATGTACAATATACAACAGACTTTATGGATTTAAATAACAAGTAATGGATAAGGTACAATAAGCTTATAGAACACTAGTGCAATGGGATGAAATGCAATGAAATAGTGCAGAATAACAAGACAAGTTACACGAGTGAACAGTTCAATGGATGTAAGTAGTGCAAAGATAAATATACAGTATCTGCAATATGTACAGTACAGTGTGCAAATGGATAACAGAGCAGTATTCTGTGAGTGTGTGCATTATAGTAAGGGAATAGCTACTTAGTGCATACCCCTCTAAACTCAAGAAAACAGATTGGCAAAAGAGACATTCCAATGTAAGAAACTATGTTTAGGGTTCAGTATGATCCTCACCTTTTAAACATCAATTATAAAGGTCCCAGAAATGATATGGGGGGGGGGGAAGAAGCAGTTCCTGAGTCTACTGGTTATGATTTTCTAAGTGTAACCCTTTTGCCACCCGGCTCGTTATAGCAAGAGAACAGCTACTGAGTGCATACCCCTCTAAACTCAAGAAAACAGATTGGCAAAAGAGACATTCCAATGTAAGAAACT